TAGTATTTTCCCAATTTCTTTCCCATGACTGTAGCAGATGGGATCGCGTAACAGGAAGGAGAACCTGTGGATATTGCATTTCGGGCACATGAATCTGCTGACTCATTACCCTGTATTCCACTATGACCTGGGATCCAACCCACTATCAGTTCTATACCTTTTAACTTTCATCTAAATAGGGCTTCTCTTATCTTAAGAATTAATTTGTATTTGATAGCGAGATTTGGTCCGGAACGGGTTGGCGGATATTGCCTGGAGGCAGCTTAGTGAGTCGGACAGAATAATGGTTTTATTAAGATTGTGTGATTCACAATATAGAATCGCCTCTAAAATTGCGATGGCTTCGTCTGTAAAAATAGATGAGGGTGGAGGAATTTTGAATCCTAAAATTACTCTGAACCTAGGTATCCATACGGCAGCCCCTACACTACCAGTGTCTGTGGTTTTTGACGCGTCTGTATATACCTGAAGCCAATAGGGCCAGTTTTTGGCAATAGTCTCGTTAAAGACTTGGTTTGCGCTAAGAGAGTGTTTTTCAATAAATAAATAAATAAATATTTCCGACACTCTCACCAATTAGCCTAGCCCCAAAGTAAGCACTATAAGGCTTGTGTTATGGGATGCTAGGTTAACGGATAGAATACATATACTGTACATATATAAGTATATTTATATAAATACATATGAAACATCCATGACTGGAGTACAAATGCTAGTATTCATCACACAAACATCTGCCCCCACCGGGATTCGAACCCGGGACCTCTCGAGTCGGCGACAGCCATGAAACCCGGCGTACTAACCACTCGGCCATGGAGGTCGTCAAATTTTCAATACCTACATTGAGAACGACTGGTGGGTTGAATACTAACGATTCGAAATATTAAAACTTAGTCCTTACTCTTAAATAAAATAAATAAATACCAGTTGAATGTTTCCATAAAAATACCTTTAGTAAAAATAATAATTATTCGATCACGGTCCTCTTGAAGTTAACTGAATCATCAGTTAATAATATGAATGTAGATGACACATCAAAAGGGATTATATTTTCAAAGATGAATAGGTAATTAACTAATCTGCAACTCATTTGTCAAATAACATGTATTTAAGGATCATTCACTTACTTATAAGTACTAAAAAGAGAAGCATTAGTTTTTTTGTTTGTTAATGCCCTATTATTGGGTTGTGAGAAAAAAGAAATTTACTTAATGACTTTTTATTGTTTATAATATTTTTGTTAATGCCCTATTATTGGGTTGTGAGAAAAAAGAAATTTACTTAATGACTTTTTATTGTTTATAATATAATTAGCTGACCTAGCGAACTTCGTACCCTCATAAAAATAGGGGCAGGTGGTAGAAGAGAAAATTTAGGATTGTATGTATTTTTAATACCACATAATAAAAAAAATATTTGAGGAGCTCGATGGCGCAAGTGGTTAGCGCGTTCGGCTGCGATCGTTGAACTTAAGCAACTTTCGCAGTGGTCTGTCATTGGATGGGTGACCAAAAATTACTACCTCGAGCTCCTCCTTGCTTCGGAAGGCACGTTAAGCCGTTGGTCTCGGCTGCATCTACAGTCGTTAGCACCCACCAATCCGCACTGGGCCCGCGTGGTGGGTCATGGCCCAATCTCCCTATTCCATCCATAGGGAAGGCTTGTGCCCCAGCAGTGGGGACATTAATAGGATGATGATGCTGATGATGATGATGAAAAAAATATTGTCCAAAAAAAAATTTCGCGTTGTGTAACGTAGTGTTCTATCAATTTCCTGGGATAACATTCCTCCTAACCCATATGAGGACACTACGTTACAATACCCAATAGTTTGAATTTTGGCGCGAAGGCGCATTGTAGGTTACAGGTGGACAACTATTATCACTTAAGGATATGAAATAGATAGTAGCCGATTCTCAGACCCACGGAATATACTGATAAAATTTCATAAAAATCGGTCAGGCCGTTTCGGAGGAGTATGGTAACTAACATTGTGACATGAGAATTTTATATATAAGATAATGATATCTTTTTAACACGTGTATAGTGTGTTTAATTTTTTTGTCATTTACTAAATGTTTTAAGTTATTTTTCCTATGAAGTGAATAGATGCATAATAATAGAACTCGATTTTTTTTCGACATTTTTGGGTTCCATACTCAATGAGAATATTAAATTAAATAAAAGGGAGACAAATAAAAATAAGAACAGGCGCTGGAGTATAAATAAAAAAAGTAAAATATAAAATAAAAAATACGAGTGCGGGATTTGACAAAAATTCAACACTCTGCGCCGTTTAGATCGATACTGAGATGACGAAAATAGTGTTCTATTGGTATATGCACTCTCGCAAGGTTAGCTCTAACGCATTTCTTTTGGATAAAGGATAAAGTTCTATATTAAACATACTACATTAATGTGAATGTACTGTCCGTGATCTACTAACATGAATTAAATGATGATACGATATAATACGTAGCAAGTAACATTGACCCAAATTAGTTTGAAAATCAAAGTCAGCGAAATGCATTCATTTGCTATCCGTATAATTTCTGCTGATTTGTAAAATTTCAATGTCTTCTTTTTCCATATAACTCTCATGAATACGAGTAATGCAAACAATTCATTATTTTCAGGATTAAAGGTTTATTTCATCATCATCATCATCATCATCATCAGCCTATTAATGTCCCCACTGCTGGGGCACAGGCCTTCCCTATGGATGGAATAGGGAGATTGGGCCATGACCCACCACGCGGGCCCAGTGTGGATTGGTGGGTGCTAACGACTGCAAATGCAGCCGAGACCAATGGCTTAACGTGCCTTCCGAAGCACGGAGGAGCTCGAGATAGTAAATTTTTGGTCACCCATCCAATGACCGACCACTGCGAAAGTTGCTTAACTTCAACGATCGCAGCCGAACGCGCTAGCCACCTGCGTCATCGAGCTCCTCAAGGTTTATTTAGAGTCCAAAAAACATAACAGAAGAATATCTTTCAATACCTTTCTCAGATTTATCATCATCAGCCTATTTATGTCCCCACTGTTGGGGCACAGGCCTTCGAATAAATTTCATTTGTGACAACATGTGTAAGAAAGATGTTCAGTGATAATTACATAAGAACATAACATGTCGTGCCAATATCAGCATAGAAATGAATTATAATTTATATTCTTACTAGCTGACCCAGCGAACTTCGTACCGCCCTAAAAAAATAGGGGTTGTCCAGCGGACAAAATTGTGAATCTAAACCATTCTCAGATCCCCTTGAACACACACAAAAAATTTCATCAAAATCGGTCCAGTCGTTTAAGAGAAGTTCAGTGACATACACACTCACAGAAGAATTATATATATAAAGATGAGCACTTTCACATTTTTTGCAAAAAATCGTATTTTTTGAGCGCCTCGTTTACCCCATTAGAAAACATTTTGACTCTTTCCAATAAAAGTAAACAGTAGATTTATTCTTCCTATTGTAAGTTAATGTAGAATATTTGCAAATAATATTTTTTCTTTTTTGTACTGATCGTTCTACCGCAGCTAGTTTACGGAAAAAACGATAATATGCACAACTTCAAACGCCTCAATCTCTTAATAATGTGCAATAAATTAGATCAAATTAATTACTACGACATCAGAAATATGTTTCTGTTGTAGCATAATGTATTGGGATTTTGATTTTCCATCTCATTAATTATCAAAAAAAAAAATCTAACCTCCGTGAGACTTCCCAAAAAATAATGCAGGTTTACCTCGTATTTTGATATTGAATTAAATAGTAATACTATGAAATGAATTATGATGATGATAATGAATTATTCTAATCTACCATCATTGAACTACTGGAATATGTATATATTTTATAATTAGTTCATTAACTAGCAAACCAGTGAACCAAATGTTCACCAAAACCTGATTTTAAAAAAAATGTATTTAATTAATTGAGAACTTCGGAGATTTTGTGTGGTTTCGTTTGAAATTCGTGATTTCTCGAAAACCGGAAGTGCTACGTTACTCAAATCCGGTTTGTAGTCTTATCAGACTATTCTTAACTTATAACTTAAATATTCTCTTTGTCTATCTCTTACGGTTTGGCCGCTGAAACAGCACCACAGACAGACGGACGGACGGACTTGTCTAATAGATAAGAGATAAGTATTTTATAAGACTTGAAACATCACCCGTAAAATGCAATATATACTAGTGCAAATCTACTTACGCGCCGATCAGTAAGACAGCGGTGCAATTTTGTAAAAGGACTCTTAAGTATTTATTTATTATTCTAAGATTCAAATTACAAAATGTCAATACTGTCAATCGAATAAAAAATCGGCCAAGTGCGTTCCGTACAAACTCAATTTAATACCTCTACACGTTCATGAGAAAAGAGGTAGTAACTTTGAAATTCTCAAACATTTTTTTTATTAAATGATGTAAATGTTTCCTTTATCTGTACAATAAGACGTTACTTCATACCAAATTTCAAGATTCTAAGTTCACGAGAAGTACCCTGTAGGTAGTAGGTAGGTAGCTGTATCTTTTGATTGCTTTCGCTTAGAAGTTTGATTTTTTCACAGCTCCAAGGGACAGTAGACATGAGTATCTCTTATCTATTAGACAAGTCCGTCCGTCTGTCTGTGGTGCTGTTTCAGCGGCCAAACCGTAAGAGATAGATAAAGAGAATATTTAAGTTATAAGTTAAGAATAGTCTGATAAGACTACAAACCGGATTTGAGTAACGTAGCACTTCCGGTTTTCGAGAAATCAGGTTTTGGTGAACATTTGGTTCACTGGTTTGCTAGTTAGATATGAATTTCAGTTTGATACCTCCACGCGTTCCTGAGAAAAACAGTCTTGACAGACGGACGGACGGACGGACAACAAAGTGATCCTATAAGGGTTCCGTTATTTCCTTATGAGGTACGGAACTCTCAAAATTACTTTAAATTGTCCAATTGGTGTTTAAAGATGGTTTTAATATTTATAGGAATTGGCAATGTCCGTTAGGTCTGCTAAGTTGCTACATGTTCTGATGGCGGTGTATCTTGACCCACAGGTCGGCTTCAAAGGCTACGGCTTATCACCTGCCCAGCTGTCATCATCAGGGAGCTTCACCTTCACCGACGGCGCCACCTACACCATCACCCACGGCTCAGTCATCATAGCCGCCATCACCTCCTGCACCAACACCTCCAACCCCAGCGTCATGCTCGGGGCAGGTAGGGACTTTAATAAGTAAAATCTAAAGAAAAGTTTACTAGAAAAAAATCCACGCGGACCAGGCAGCGGACGGGACTCGAACCCGCACCCTTCGCAATCCGGGCGAATGCACTGACCATTATGCTACCACGGCCCTATTGGCCGCGTCGAAATTTTCCTAGCCTTAAGCTGCAAGGCAGCGCTATCTCTTCGCATTGTAGGCAACCCACAATGTCAAATGAATACTTTTCAAGTATTAAACATTTGAAAGGAAAAATAGCAATTATAGTTTTTATTTATTTTTGTGAGTTACCTACAATGCGAAGAGATGGCGCTGCCTTGCAGCTTAAGGCTAGGAAAATTTGGACGCGGCCAATAGGGTCGTGGTAGCATAATGGTCAGTGCATTCGCCCGGATTGCGAAGGGTGCGGGTTCGAGTCCCGTCCGCTGCCTGGTCCGCGTGGATTTTTTTCTAGTATACTTTTCTTTAGATTTAAACATCTAGCAGTTAAATGCTTAAAAATAAATAAAAACATAACTTTAATAATTGGTTACTGTTTGCGCGATATCTCCAATTTTACCTGATAGAAAGAGATAATTGAGTTATTAAATAAAACGATTTTCATGGGTTATATGCACTGAATTTATTTATCTGACGTTTCGCAGCCTTTGCAGGCTTGGGAACCCATTATACAACGGATAAAATCCCAACCCCGAGCACACACTTCAAGACTAATAGATACTGTTAGTTCTTTTTGTTTGCATAATTTAACATAAGAGGGAGATAGAAAGCCTCTCTGAGTTTCTTTCGCTGATTCTTCTTAGAAAGGTCTCTCAATTTTGGAACCGGTGGTAGGTGGTTAGGGTCAAATAAATAATATATATGGCATATGGCACTCGCAGCTCAAAATTGTACCGCTTCAATTGTGATGTATGAACACAATGCGCTTTAGGCACAATTTGACATCCAAACACGCTGCATCTGCACTCAATATAACAATATTGTTATATAGATAAAACAATGCCTTCGCTGCTTTTATAAAGAACACAAATAGTTCCAGCGTTATTAAATACCCTAGATATATCAACACGAACAAAATCGTACCCGAAACCTGTCCAAAAGGTACATTGGACGATCCACGGAGCTCTGTAAGATGATCGCATAGTCAAAACAATATAAGGCATTATTTAAACAATGCCCTAATGCATACTGTAATAAGGTCTTAATTAAAACGCATGCGTTAAAAAGTTATAACAGTTTGAAATGCAAGCTCGTAAAAATTTACGACTTATTGTTATATGCAGAAGAATATAGACCTTATTTCTTTGACTCTAGACGCAATTCTGAATGCGCTGTTAACAATATAGCAGGTACGGACCGCGAGGAAAAGAGTCGGCTATAGTACCGAACATGTAATTGAATATCACAAATATTTTCTATTAAATCAGTTTATAGTAAGTATTAGAACAAAATTTGCTTCAAATACGTTAAATTAACAAACATTTATTAGTTGTCTGTAGAAAAAAAACGACACTATACAAACTAAAAGTATTGTTTTCGCATTATTTTACGGAGCTCTGCAGCAACTTGATTTTCCAATGGTCCGCGCGTGACTGTGAATCAAGAAGTGCTTGAGTGGTGTTCAAGCACTTCTTGATTGGGACTCATTTTGAGTGCACGTGGTGACATCTAGGGTATTTAATATCGTTGCCAACGCAACACTTTTCATTCGTAAAACTATAAAATACTTTTTTCTCAAAAATCACGATTTGTCATGAATGTTATTAACTTATTCGCCATTTGTTATCAAGAAGAGGACAACAATACAGCTCCGCCGTTTGTAGAGAGAGAACAGAAAATGCAGTCGGTAGCCGAGCGCTTCTTCGCTCGCGCTGCTGGGTTGAAGCGTACAGTTCTGTCTCGCTCGCTCGATTGAATGTTTATTTTCACAAGTGTGCGTGTGTAAGAGTTACTTATGTAGTTGGGTCGGATTATATTTTAGTTGATGATGCTAGTATGAGCGTACCGTACCTTCCCTTTTCGTTTTAATCTAATCTAAGGAGCTATTACATTACCTAAGATTTAAAGATAATCACAGCGGTTCAGGTAGTTTATTCAATTTTATTAAAGACCGCGTTCTGACGTGATCACGATAGCTAAGCAACTTTCGCAATGGTTAGTCATTAGATGGTGATCATTAGATATAAATACTGAAACTAAATCAGAAACTATATTTAAAATAATAAGATAAACATTATAAGATACGCACGCACGCACGGAAGCACGCACGCACGCACGCACGCACGCACGCACGTTTACTAAATGGTACACAACCATCCATGGTCTGGTCAAATGGTGGTATGATCAACCCATCATAATCTGATCAATACGTACCTTTTATTTTTGGTAAAAAAAATGCATGTTTTTTATATCATTGTTTTTATGTAGCCATTAATACCAACATTGTGAACATTGTGATTATGGTGAGAAATAAAGGTTATTATTATTATTATTGAAGCTAAGTACCGTTCTCATAGACCGGCCGTAGAATAGGTGGCTATAAACTTATTATCTGTCTATCTATAAACTTAGTATTTTTCATTTTTCCCTCAGGTCTCTTAGCGAAGAAAGCGGTTGAGAATGGCCTCAGCGTGTTGCCTTACATCAAGACTTCACTATCGCCCGGGTCTGGAGTAGTCACTTATTATCTAAAGGTAAAACGATCATACTGACCTAAGTGATAAAATATTATAACGTAACGTAACGCGTCACGACGCCAGTCTGTCTGGCTTCCCTTCTCCGCTAAAGGAGATACATGCTACAACCCGCCCAGGTACCAGAATCTCCCCACTCCATCACCCATCGATCCCCAGTATCACCCACCAATACATTATTATTACCCACCAATCCCCTTTTAACCTCTAATCCTCATTTCATCCTCCAATCTCCTTTTCAGCTACCAATCTCCTGTGTTCAAAAAACAATAGTTTAAGTTGTCACTTCTGTGGAGCGTCCCTAGATGCACACGCTTTTATAAAATAAACTAGCGGCCCGCCCTCGCTTCGCTTCGGTGTAGAGCTGAAGTGTAGACTACAGTTTTTGTTCTCAGGCTTGTATTATACACAATGACATTCATCTATGATTCTTCTTATACCTGCGTGCAAAGTCTCAGCCCGATCGGTTTAAAATTGACAAAGTTTCATACAAACTTTCATACCCTATTTTATCCCCTTGGGGGTAGAATTGATCAAAATCCTTTCTTAGCGGATGCCTACGTCATAACATCTACCTGCATGCCAAATTTCAGCCCGATCCGTCCAGTGGTTTGGGCTGTGCGTTGATAGATCACTATGTCAGTCAGTCACCTTTGAGTTTTATATATATGATTTCTATAAACACATTACATTTTCGTCATATTATACAATGTACTTATTTAGAAAATATAAAGAAAAAAATAATAATTAGGAAAAAGGGAAACGCTTGTTAACAATGAATAAATATATTTTTATGTTAGAGTCTATCAAACTAGCATAATTATAACGTATTTAAACATTTATTACCACAATGAGTTGAAAATGTGCACCTATAAAAGAACCTATTTCAACTTCTTTTTAATGTCATCTGGAATGAAGTATAGAGAAGAAATTCGACACGGCCATCAGGGCCGCGGTAGCATAATGGTCAGTGCATCCGCCCGGACAGCGAAGGGTGCGGGTTCGAGTCCCGTCTGCTGCCTGGTCCGCGTGGATATTTTCCTAGTAAATTTTTCTTTCGTTTTCTTTATTGAAGAGAGAGACAGATTGATTTAAAAGAGTTGGTAAAACGAATTACTCAATATTCTGAAATATCCGGCTCTCCTATAGCCATGTGTCTGTCTATTCAAGTTTATGTTTGTTTGTTCGTTCGCAGGAATCTGGAGTAGTGCCCTATTTGGAGAAGTTGGGTTTCGACATAGTGGGGTATGGTTGTATGACCTGTATCGGCAACTCCGGACCCATTGATGATAACATAGCCAATACTATAGAGAAGGTAAGTCAAAGTCAAAATTTCTTTATTCATTTAGGTACAATAGGGTATTCGACAAGTTTTAGAAAACGATCTCACGTTATTTAGTAATGTTTATAGAGTCCATAAAAAGTAGATATTCAGCATTATGTTGTGTATTTCAGTAAAAAAATCAAATCAAAAACTCTATTTTTAATTTTATAAACACGTTTTCAACGTGTCAATTTTTAAAAACGTATCTCTGGACAATATGGCGTCTAACTGGTGTGTGACGTCACACGACTGTCATTAAAACGTCAAAACATACAATCAAATGTCACTTTAACCGGAAGTTTACTTGCGTGTGACGTCATTTTTGGGCTCCACTAATCCCAAGCGTTTTGGGTCACGTGATAATAGACAAGAAAACTATTAACTTTATCGTGGGTTTTTAGTAAAATTATGAATATTTTTTCTGTAAAAATAGTAATAACTCCTGCCAATATTCAGTTTAAATACAGATGCTAAGAATTGGCACTTTATTTCTAATACTGTCATTTCATAAGCGTGCAAATAGGGTACTTATGAAAGTCAAATTTGATGCCATCGGTTCAAGAGTCTACCAGAAGGTCCTGTCTGAGAAGAATCGGCAAGAAACTCAGCAAGTTTTGTCCTCCCTTAACATTTTCTATTTTTATTTTTGAGTTACCTCCCATTGAAGTCATTTTTCAATTTGACGACTCCGTATATAATACAGGATGAAAAAAATAGCCCTTGCTGAGTTTCTTGCCGGTTCTTCTCAGTACAAGGTCTCCCGCCGTAGATTTGCGAACCGAAAGCGTAGCTTTTCGACACTCACAAGTGCTTGTAACAACCTAGATTGAATAAACGATATTGAATTTTGAATTTTATTTGGAAAGAGTCATAATCCACATCAGGTCTTTAATAATTTAATTAATTTTAAAAGTATAAATAAATAAAATACCAGTAGTTACTACGAAATAAGAAAAGAATATATTATATAAAAGTGTGATCCATGACGTCTTTCCTTATAATAATGTCAATTTAGAATAAGAATTATACGCTTAATGATATCTCTCTAGATTTCTCTGAAGATCGAAATTCTCTCTCCTCTTTCAATTGCGATACTCTACAGTTCATAATGCATTTTTTATCTGTTAAAATTACCACCTTTGTATCTCTATTATGGTCTGCAATAAATGTTGAATTAAATTGAATTGAAATTCAAAAAACGAGTGTGCTTATGACCACAGGATTGAAGTGAAACTTCTTGAGTCGAGATAGAAGATTTTTGGTCACCCATCCAATGACTGACCACTGCGAAAGTAGCTTAACTTCATCGGTTGCAGCCGAACGTGTTAACCACCTATAATATAAGATAGCTAAGAGGAGCTCGATGGCGCGGGTGGTTAGCGCGTTCAGCTGCGATCATTGAAGTTAAGCAACTTTCGCAGTGCTCTGTCATTGGATGGGTGACCAAAAATTTTCTATCTCGAGTTCCTCCGTGCTTCGGAAGGCACGTTAAGCCGTTGGCCCCGGCTGCATCAGTCGTTAGCACCCACCAATCCGCACTGGGCCCGCGTGGTGGGTCATGGCCCATTCTCATATAGATATAACTGTTTCAGAATCTTTAATAGTGGTTTTAAATCATGGGTGTAGTGTTATTTATTTATCTACTAGTTGAGAGTTTCGTACTTCGTACGGGTTAAAATAATTTGGAAGAAATGACGGACCCGAGTTTACCACCAAAAGGGACGAACGTCAAATGTTTGACAGGAAAGGAGATAGAACATTTTAAATGGGAAAATTAAATTGACGTTTTTACTATCTTACTCACAATTTTTCCTAATTTTCTCACCTATTAAACCTTCCCTAGACCTCCACGAACATTTCAGGATCAAGATAAGATAAATCCGTTCAGCCGTTCTCGAGTTTTAGCGAGACTAACGAACAGCAATTGATTTTTATATACATAGATTAAAAAAAATCAATATTTACAACTTAAATTTTTTAAGCATGTATCTGCTTGATGTTTTAATATAAAGAAAATATAACTAGAAAAAATTCCACGCGGACCAGGCAGCAGACGGGACTCGAACCCGCACCCTTCGCTATCCGGGCAAATGCACTGACCAATTACGCTACCGCGGCCCTGACGGCCGCGTCGAAATTCTTCTAGCCATTCTTAAGCTGCAAGGCAGCGAAGGGTGCGGGTTCGAGTCCCGTTTGCTGCCTGGTCCGCGTGAATTTTTTTCTGGTTATATTTTCTTTAGATTTAAATAAATATTTGTCGTACAGAACGAGCTTGTCTGCTGCGGGGTATTATCCGGTAACCGCAACTTCGAGGGTCGTATTCACCCCAACACCAGAGCCAATTACTTAGCTTCTCCCCTGCTGGTCATAGCGTATGCTTTGGCAGGCACCGTGGATATTGACTTTGAAACCACTCCTTTGGGTAAGTGAAGAAATCTTACAATATCTATACATATAAATAAAAAATTGTGTGTGTCAGCTCCGACACACGACTGGAGTTTACTCCTTCAGAAACAATATCTAAAATCAGTTCAGATTTTAAAATTTTTATTAATGTCTATCCGTCATCTTTGTTTGTCAAAGTTGCGCGACATAGGATGCGCACCAAAAACGTAACGAGGTCATTCATCGATAGTTTTTACTCCTCACATTTTTCTCACACCGGGCCCCTTATATATGCAAATCGATTCTTAAGGAGTAAACTCCAAAATTGGAGTGTCTGTTTGTAATATTGAAATAACCGCTTTTTACTACATGCATATTAATATTGTTACGTGTCGGGATGGTGTTCGAAATTATATGCCAGTTCACCCTTGACAGTAGTTTATTCATCACACAATTAACACACAATGTTAATCACAGAACACTCACTAAACACTGTATTTCACTATACAAGTCTCTAAACAATCTCACTTGAACACTTTTGTTGCACTTTGATCGCCTTTGGATTCGCTCCGAAATCTCTGTTGAAACTTAACTGCCTCTGCGCAGCGCCAATCGCGCTTATATGCGCCGATCGACGCATTCTAGAAAGTACCTGTTAAATTGAGAATTAGCTAGCACCCGCGAGTACGAAGTACCTACTTATACCTACGTAGGTAACGCGCATAACTTGTAAACAAGTGCAGATGTCTGTGCACTTTCTCCCTTACGCCGCACTGCATAAGGCTCATTTTAGAATGAGCCGCATTACTCGACCTCTATCGCGACTTGCGTTGCTCTGGCACATTCAATCTCTAGCACTTTCGCGGTTTCGTTTCGAGAGCGTTTGTGACAATATATATACGGTACATACACCAAAATATCATTTTTTACAATTTTTGTTTGTCTGTCTGTTTGTTTCGGCTAATCTCTGAAATGGCTGGACCGATTTTGACGGGACTTTTATTTTCAGGTAGTTAATGTAATAAGGAGTAACTTAGGCTACTTTTATTTTAGAAAAAAACTTATTTTAGAAGAAAAAACTAAAAGTTAAAGAGGAGGAGTCGCGGGCGGCGGCTATTATTTAAATAAAATAAAATAACCATTGAAGACATCATTAACAGAAAGCAAATAATAATATGTTAAATCACCCAAAAATTAGAGCTAATTACTTAGCATCCCCCCTTCTAGTCATAGCGTATCTTTGGCAGGCACACCGTGGATATTGACTTTCTTCTTCTTCTTCTTTTATGATGGCTTGCGTTGTGACTTAGCACAGCTCCGCCAATGTCAAGTGATTAGCCATTACACGTAAGGGAATGACAGTTAAAAATCAGAATTTTGTTTACCTATTTTATAAGCACTTTTACCTGTAAAGAAAAACGTCACAATTAGGACAACACAAACATAAAACAAGTAAAGCAGGGAGCTTTGTTATAATCTTAGTTTGTTAAGGGAAATAAATTTGGCCAAGAGCTTGAGGGTTGGGTAATCACATAAACATAGTATATTGACATATATTGACTTTGGAAGGTTTTAGTAAGGTACTTTAGTAAGGTAGTTAGGGTAAGTTGGAAAACATTATAGTATTGCACACCTAGACCTAAAAGGGGTCAACTCAAATATTAGGAAGTTCTTAAAGTAACAAAAATCGCGATTTTTTGAGTTAACTCCCTTTAGTTGTGCAATATGTTAATCCTTTCCTAGCCTACTTCCGACTCTCCTATCCTTCTATTATAAACGAGAAAGTTTGTGTGGCGCGATCTATAAAGACGTGTCTGCATGGCCGTGATGAATTTCCTCTAGTATTTATTAGGCTTCATAAAACAAAAAGTATAACAAACTACAATTGCTATCTCTTCTCTCAAATGTTTAATACTTGTAAAGGTATTCATTTGACATTGTGGGTTACCTACAATGCGAAGAGATGGCGCTGCCTTGCAGCCTAAGACATACAAGTTGTATGTATTGGGCATTTTTTTTAGTATGTATTGGGGTTGTATTGGGGTTTAAATTAATAAGTGTATCTTGTCTCAGGTAAGCGTTCGGACGGATCGCCAGTATATTTGCGTGAGATCTGGCCCACAAGACAAGAGATACAAGAAGTGGAGAACAAGCATGTCATACCGGGGATGTTTAAAGAGGTAACACGCACACATACATACATGCACACACACACACACACACACACATTATAAAGTTGTCATGTGGCAAATTCCTGTAAACCCTTTAAATGGGTATTTAGTGTTTGTTTTTATACTATTTTGAAAATTAAATGTTATTTACGTTTTCACGCACATCACTCATTAAATAAAACTAGCGAACACACACTGCAAGACCAACAGATACTATTAGTTCTTTTTGTTTGCATAATTTAACATAAGAAGGAGATAGAAAGCCTCTCTTGAGTTTGTTTCGCCGGTTCTTCTCAGAAAGGTCTCCAAATTTTGGAACCGGTGGTAGTTTACGGTAGTTAGGGTCAAATAAATAAAATCAAAATTACAAAAAAGATTTTTATATAAAGTACTTTATTAACTAAATTAAGTAATAAATTCATACATAGACAATAAAACTTTAAAAATCGAACAATGAAATAACCGAACGCTCAATAAAAGGTAGCTCGACAAAATTAAATAAAAAATTATTCTGACTTCGCAGCCTTTACAGGCTGCGTCGTCAGTATAATGTCAATAAATAAATAAAGTTTCGTGAAACCCGTGAAAAACTAGTTTTATTAAATGTTACATTGATTTAAAGTAAAGCCGTTAGCATCTAATGTCTACAAAATAAGTTTCTGTAATCGGCCTTAAGATTGTATTTGTATTTTATTGTATTACATTCACATACACAAGAATCGCTGTAGAGACTTTGTTAAAGATAGTTAAATAAATAAATAACATAACTGTTATTTACGTTGGCAACACTGAACGATATGATTTTGAATCAAATAATTAAATTTTAAATTTTGAGCACCTCCGTGGCCGAGTGGTTTATACGCTGGGTTTCATGGTATCGCCGATTCGAGAGGTCCCGGGTTCGAATCCCGGTGGGGGCAGATGTTTGTGTGATGAATTCGAACATTTGTACTCCATTCATGGATGTTTACTATGTATTTCTATATAAATATACGGTATATGTATTCTACGTTACCCTAGCATCTCATAACACAAGCCTTACAGTGCTTACTTTGGGGCTAGGCTAATTGGTGTGAGTGTTGGAAATATTTATTTTTTATTCTTAATATTTTTTCCATTGTAGGTGTACGGTAAGATTGAACTCGGGTCTCCGTCGTGGCAAGCCCTGTCGGTGCCTCAAGGCAAGCTGTACGGATGGGACATCAACTCTACGTACATCAAGAGACCGCCATTCTTCGACGGGATGACAAGGGTGAGAAATTATATACAAAGCGTCCCACGGTCATACCTTGTAACATAATTATTTTTATGATTTTATTTATTTTTTAAGCATTTAACTGCTAGTATGTTTAAATCTAAAGAAAAGTTTACTAGAAAAATTTCATTTGACATTGTGGGTTACCTACAATGCGAAGAGATGGCGCTGCCTTGCAGCTTAAGGCTATGAAAATTTCGACGCGGCTAATAGGGCCGTGGTAGCATAATGGTCAGTGCATTCGACCGGATAGCGAAGGGTGCGGGTTCGAGTCCCGTCTGCTGCCTGGTCCGCATGATTTTTTTCTAGTTATATTTTCTTTATAATTATTTTTATTAAACGCCATCTATCGAAACTCGTGAGAACTAGCACATAACGGAAAAATTGACAGCTCGATATAACATGCTTTTTTAGTAGTTTTAAACATAATGATGGTGACACAAATCGCCGTCAGGGGGCGTCTAGATTAGTGATGTTACGGTCTTGAATTTTGACAAACCGGATTTGATCGGTTAGTAATACATGCAAATCGGTTTCCGAACCGAACCGCCAAATTTTCAGTAAACCGCGGTTTGAACCGTTTGACGAGTTGACGAATGAAACTTACGAAACAACAGGTGCTATTTTTTTTTAATTCTACATATTTTGTTGATATTACATCGTGCAAATATTTAAAGGTAATTGAAAAATATCAATTAAAATATGAAAACAAATAATAATAATCAGAATTAAAAATGTCAAAATAAAAATAAACAAATATCTATGTAATACCGTGTTTAAAAAATTACAAAAAAATACATAAACTCTATTAATTACATAAAACCGTACTTCTTAACTTTGAGAATAAAATACAATTTTAATAATCAACAATATAATAAATACGTAACTTATTTTTGTAAAATCATTTGAGTCGTAGAAACTTAATTTGGTACAAACAACTTAATTAAAAAGTTTTCTTACAACTATTTAGGAATAATATTTGGTCTATTCTTTTAGAAGCTGGGCAATTACGTCGCATATTACATAATAATGAAAACAAAATTACACCGTCAAGTCAGTCAAATCTACCAGAGTCCGTTTCATTTCGGTTCGGTCGGTAAGTCGGTTATGTCTGTTGTATTTAAATTGACGATGCGCGCTAACGGTATCCTCTGCTGTAAGTCGGTTCGTATTGGTCGGTCAAGTTTTATTAGGGTCGGTAAAGCACGTCAGGAGCCGCACGCGATTTGTGGATGGCGGCATAAACAAGAATTGACAGGCGCGCATGCGCGCAGCGCGATACGAACGAATGCCACGGTAGAACCGGTTTACGAAGACGTTAACCGATTCAACTCGGTCCATGCTCAAACCGGTTTGAACCGGTTTGAAAAGTCGAGTCGTTACATCTCTAGTCTAGATTATTAAGAGATTATCGTAGGAGGGGAGTTCTTTTCTAGAACATGCAACGAGGGTGAAATTAAATTTAGCTTAAATAAGGGATGAAAAGTTAAACGAAATGAAAGGTGGCTAAGAGAACACCAAAAGAAGATCATGTCTTTGTTGTTTTAAGGATAATTTAATAGAAAATCCCATATTGAATTTTGATGCATTTAATTATTGGATAGAAATTTTGATGTTGTCACAAGCGACGTAAAGATGTAATGAATGAACAGTAAAAATATCAAGCAACATTTATAAGTACGGCGACATTGCTGCTACGAGTTTGGTAGGCGTTACCATACTCCCCCCCCCCCCCTCCCCCCGTTGAAGAAGATCTTCAACTTCTTACTCTTCATAATCGTTCAGAAGAGGTCAGAGGCAAACCAGCGGCCTCCAGGAGCAATTAAATTTGTTTCAGTTATTTCACAGCAAAAATTGCACCCTGATATATTTATAGTCTTCTGTTTTCCGATTTTCTTCTGAAGTACTTCTTCAGTCTTCTTTTTCTTCTTCTTCTCCGCCTGAAGGACTTTTACGTGTTAACTTTTTGGTAGGTTTCACTTCTAACGCACGTGAACAGTACCCCCAGCACGAACCAAAATCGAATTCGTATCGTTTGCGAGTCCGAAATGTCATTGACAAATGTGTACTGATTTTTAGTTCCCGTTACGTCCAAAGTGGCGCTGCTGTTCAAGTTTCCATACAAAATTTAACATTGACATTTCGGTTTGCAAACTATTCGAATTCGATAATGGTTCGTGCTAGGGGTAGGGGTGAAAATGCCCGTTTTTTTAAAAAAAAAACGACTTTTGTTCTAAAATTAAAATTTTACAACAAAAATCGTCAATTTAATGGAAAATTCCGTTAATTCAAAGCGTTTACAAATGTGCTTGCTCGGCACAACACAAAAGATGTATTTAATGAAAAATTTATTTCTTTTTAAGGATCTCCCTTCAATCAAGTCCGTAGAGAACGCCAGATGTTTACTGTTACTGGGCGACTCGGTGACTACGGACCATATTTCTCCAGCCGGTTCCATAGCCAGAAACTCACCGGCAGCGAGGTTCTTGGCCTCCAGAGGGTGAGTAAAATATGGAATGATGAATTAATGAAAATTGTCTTGTTGTAATAATGAAAATACTATTTTAAACTAGCTAGGCCACTAGTTAGGCAACTAGCTAGGCAACTAGTTAGGCCACTAGCTAGGCAACTAGCTAGGCCACTAGCTAGGCAACTAGCTAGGCAAATAACTAGGCAGCTAGCTAGGCAACTAGTTAGGCAACTAGTTAGGCAACTAGCCAGGCAGCTAGGCAACTAGCTAGGTCAAAAGCTAGGCAGCTAGCTAGGCAACTAGCTAGGTCGCTAGCTAGGTCACTAGCTAGGCCACTAGTTAGACAACTTTTTTCATTGTTCATTGTTGTTTTTTCAGTCTTGATGTAATATAATGAAAATAGTCTTGTTGTAAAAATGAAAACAGTCTTGTTGTACATGTCTGTCTGTCTTCTAAGCTAATGAAATAACTGCAGTTGAAAGGTGATGGTAGACTTTTCGTAATTGATATTTGCACGCAGTCACGTAACTTGCAATATCGTTATTTTAAATGTAACGGAAAAACATTATCACTGTTTTGTTGTTAAAAAAAAATAACATATTTTATACTAGATAAACTCGACATGTGTATAAACAAAAAACTAGCTAGCAGGCCCTAGCCTATTAATTGCATAACAAGTTGCCTAGTTACCTATAACTAGGCAAAAATTTAATAAGCAATTAATTAGGCACCTAACAAAGCGGCTAGCTAGGCAACTAATTATGTAGCTAGCTAGGCCACTAATTAGGCCCCTAGCTAGGCCACTTATTAGGCCCCTAGCTAGGCCACCAGCTAGGCAACTAGCTAGGTCTCTACCTATGCAGCTAGCTAGGTAGCTAGCTAAGCAACTAGCCAGGCAGCTAGCTAAGCAACTAGCTAGTCAACTAGCTAGGCAGCTAGCTAAGCAACTAGCTAGGCAGCTAGCTAACCAACTAGCTAGGCAGCTAGCCAAGCAAAAATAGTCTTGTTGTACATGTCTGTCTGTCTTCTAAGCTAATGAAATAACTGCATTTTTATAAAAGGCCACCTTATGGTGATGACTTTTCGTAATTGATGTTTGCACGCAGTTACGTAACTTGCGATATCGTTATTTTAAATGTAAAGGAAAAACATTATCACTGTTTTGTTGTTAAAAAAATATAATCAAAATATATAAATAACATATTTTATACAAGATTAACTCGACATTTGTATAAACAAAAAACTAGCTAGCAGGCCCTAGCCTATTAATTGCATAACAAGTTGCTTAGTTACCTATAACTAAGCAAAAATGCAATTAATAAGCAATTAATTAGGCACCTAACAAAGCGGCTACCTAGGCAACTAATTATATAGCTAGCTAGGCCACTAGTTAGACAACTATTTTCATTGTTCATTGTTGTTTTTTCAGTCTTGATGTAATATAATGAAAATAGTCTTTTTGTAAAAATGAAAACAGTCTTGTTGTACATGTCTGTCTGTCTTCTAAGCTAATGAAATAACTGCAGTTGAAAGGTGATGGTAGACTTTTCGTAATTGATATTTGCACGCAGTCACGTAACTTGCGATATCGTTATTTTAAATGTAACGGAAAAACATTATCACTGTTTTGTTGTTAAAAAAAAATAACATATTTTATACTAGATAAACTCGACATGTGTATAAACAAAAAACTAGCTAGCAGGCCCTAGCCTATTAATTGCATAAGAAGTTGCCTAGTTACCTATAACTAGGCAAAAATTTAATAAGCAATTAATTAGGCACCTAACAAAGCGGCTAGCTAGGCAACTAATTATGTAGCTAGCTAGGCCACTAATTAGGCCCCTAGCTAGGCCACTTATTAGGCCCCTAGCTAGGCCACCAGCTAGGCAACTAGCTAGGTCTCTACCTATGCAGCTAGCTAGGTAGCTAGCTAAGCAACTAGCCAGGCAGCTAGCTAAGCAACTAGCTAGTCAACTAGCTAGGCAGCTAGCTAACCAACTAGCTAGGCAGCTAGCCAAGCAAAAATAGTCTTGTTGTACATGTCTGTCTGTCTTCTAAGCTAATGAAATAACTGCATTTTTATAAAAGGCCACCTTATGGTGATGACTTTTCGTAATTGATGTTTGCACGCAGTTACGTAACTTGCGATATCGTTATTTTAAATGTAAAGGAAAAACATTATCACTGTTTTGTTGTTAAAAAAAATATAATCAAAATATATAAATAACATATTTTATACAAGATTAACTCGACATTTGTATAAACAAAAAACTAGCTAGCAGGCCCTAGCCTATTAATTGCATAACAATTTGCTTAGTTACCTATAACTAGGCAAAAATGCAATTAATAAGCAATTAATTAGGCACCTAACAAAGCGGCTAGCTAGGCAACTAATTATATAGCTAGCTAGGCCACTAGCTAGGCAGCTAGCTAGGCAACTAGCTAGGCCACTAGCTAGTCAACTTGCTAAGCAAATAGCTATGCAGCTAGCTAGGTAGCTAGGCCATTAGCTAGGCAGCTAGCTAGGTAGCTAGGCCATTCGCTAGGCACCTAGCTAGGCCACTAGCTAGTCAACTAGCTAAGCAAATAGCTAGGCCACTAGCTAGTCAACTAGCTAGGCAGCTAACTAGGCAACTTGCTAGGCCACTAGCTAGGCTGCTAGCTAGGCCACTGGCTAGGCAACTAGCTAGGCTAGTGAGCTAGGCAACGAATTATGCAATCAGTTAGTCAACTAGCTCAGCAGCTAGCTAGGCAACCAGATGAATTAAGCAATCAGCTAGGCTTACAAACTAGGCACCTATCTACGCCACTAGTTACGCAACTAATTATGCAACGAGCTAGGCAACTAGTGGAAATTTAAGCATTGTACTTTTAAAATGAAAGTATATAGTACTTAAAATGAAAGTAGTATAAAGATTTTATATTTTAAACATTAAATTATTCCAACCTGGAACCCAAAGTTCCAGGTGTCAGGCTGGAGTTTGCCTTACATCTGGATAGAGTGGAATATTTTCTAGGAAAGTACTCTTTAGATTTATAAAGGATTGTGTGTTATTTCTTAATATTGTTTTATAATAATTCATTGTTTTTCTTTTCTATCTTACAGCTTAACGCCTCGCGAATTCAACTCTTACGGCTCCCGTCGCGGCAACGACGCAATAATGTCGCGCGGAACATTCGCCAACATTCGTATCGTGAACAAGATGGTGCCCAACCCTGGACCCAGGACTAAGCACCACCCGAGTGGAGACCTGATGGATATATACGATGCGGCTGAGAGGTGAGACATGGTTATAAATGTTGGCTGTGAAAATTAAGCAACTTTTGCTATGGCCCCTTATGGATGGCTAACCGAAATCTATAGGATGGGCGACCAAAATATAGAATCTATAGGATGGGAGACCAAAATATAACATCTATAGGATGGGAGACCGAAATATAACATCTATAGGATGGGCGACCAAAATATAACATCAATAGGATGGGCGACCAAAATATAACAGCTATAGGTTGGGCGACTAAATTATTAACGACCGAATGTAACCGCGCCATTAGAATATAAGGGTATTTATCTGTGGGCCTTTGTAGCCTGATTAGAAATAAATAAATAAAATAAACCTTTTAACATAAAAAAAAATCTACTTTTAAGACTGGGTTTGGTAGTGTTCTCTTTTCAATAATAGGGTATTTGACAATATTAAAAATAAAGTGCCAATTGTTAGCATCTGTGTTTAGAATAAATATTGACAGGGGTTTCTATTTTTACAAAAAAAAAATATTCATTATTTTACTAAAAACCCACGAAAAAGATAATAGTTTTCTTATCTATTGTCACGTGACCCAAAACGCTTGGGATTGGCGGAGCCTAAAATGACGTCACACGCAAGTAAACTTCCGGTTAAAGTGACATTACATTTTATCGTTTGACGTTTTAATAACAGTCGTGTGACGTCACACACTAGTAAGACGCCATATTGTCCAGAGAAACGTTTTCGCGGCAACTTGAAAATGGAGTTTTTGATTTGGTTATTTTTACTGAAATACACAACAGAATGATGAATATCCACTTTTTACGGACTCCATAAACATTTGTCAATAACGTGAGATCGTTTTCTAAAACTTGTCAAATACCCTATTATAAAGCATTATAGACTGCTGTGGTTTTGGATTCAGAGGATTATTCTGAGATTGGGCAAATATTTACTTTGTCTATTAAATCGCGTACGTAGATATTAAAAAAAAAACTTGTTAAATGTTTAGCGCATGATGAGTGTGGCGGCGACATCTATATGCCCCACATATATACAACGGATGGAGGAAATCATTACTCACCATCCTCAAGAGATGGCGTTACCTGCACTGCGATCATTAATAGTATGGAAGCCTACATCGCGCAAATGAAATTCGGAAGCTAACTCTTCATATATACGATGCCCGACCAACATCAGTCGGGCCGCGGCCCCCGAGCTAACATCACCCAGCTCGGAGGAAGATCTTCCCCTTTGGCCTTCATACAATCAGGGTTCCCAACTTAGGGGTTTTGCACCCAGATTTAGGGGCTAGAAGTGTTAAAAGTGACTTTTTTAGGGGCTGGAATTTTTTGGGGTTTCTTTTAGGGGCTTTTAACAAAACTTTCAATTAAATCGAAAAACAAAGCGTGAGTTTTCTTTCAGTTTTGTGCGTAGAATGGAACGCAGCACGATATGAAACGACTGAACTCACTGTGTGGCAGGTTGTTTCCTAAGGCTGTATGGACTAAAGTTCTTTGCCTTCCACCAATCAAAACAGCTAAATAAGATTTAACCGCCTGTCAGCTCATTTTCGTTTGATTTTCCATTCGGAAATGTATTTATTCAATAAAATAATTTACTGTAACAGATTATGTAACGTTTTAATTTATGAGCTACGAAAGAATTTAGGTAATAAGATAAGTAGGTACATATAATTTTCTATATTTAGGGGATTTTAGGGGAATTTAAAAAATACTTAGGGTAAAATTTTGGTAAGGGTTGGTAACACTGCATACAATGAGGCCATCTTTAATTACAGTTAATTGAATCCTAACAATTCAGCATAAGTGTTAGTCTGTTTGTATTATTAATATAGCTGTGTTGATGGTCCATAAATAAATAAACAAAAAACGAGCGAGCCTTACAGTAGTCGTGTATGATGTGTAACATTTGAAACCTCACCTTTTATAAGAAAAAATAGAAATAAAACCTACTACAAAAGGAATAAGCCATTTGAAAATTATGTTCTAAAAGCAAATCAACTAGCGCGCGCTTTCGCGACTTCCTGTTACACACTTCCGTCCCATTTCACGAAATCACTCCAACAAATTGCAGGAAGCGAGAGGAAAGATGTTACAATAAATATTGTTTTATTTGACAGGTACGCATCTGAGAAAGTTCCTCTGATTGCTATAGTGGGCAAAGACTACGGCTCCGGCTCAAGCCGCGACTGGGCTGCCAAGGGACCTTATCTACTGGTAAGTTATACACCATAAATGAGGACTCTGTAATTAATAATTAATTAATATAGGGAGATAAAAAACAGCCTTTGTTGAGTTTCTTGCCGGTTCTTCTCAGTAAAGAAAGAAAGAAAGAAAAATAAATTTATTTGAGACAACACACACACAACAAACAGAACAAAACACACTTTTTTTGAAGTTATACTTCTTTAGGCGCGTTATGAAAAAATGATGAGAGTGAAATTTTAAGATGCGCGCGCATCACTGTAACACAAAATTTTAACATAATGAAGTTGGTCGCTTTAGCGACCAACTTCATGCGTTACTTTTGTGTTTACCGCACATTAAGAAAATCTACAAACAAACAAAATAGAATCTCTATTTAGTGGGTGCTAACGACTGCATTGTGAAGGCCTATCAAAAGTATTTATTAATCTGGAAGAACGGAACCAAAGCGCGATTCAGGAGACTACAGCGGCATCTCTTGACCATTGGTGTAGTAGAACCAAAAACCACATCTTTATTTTTTGTAATAAAGTAACAGTTATAGGTATTCATATTTATAATATTTATCCACATGTTTCTAGTTTGTATATTCGGAATACGTGTTTGAGTTTCATACAAGTGCAAATCACATATCATGTTCTAATAAATTATATTCAGTAGCGATTTTAATTGAATATTTTGATTATTTATTTATTTTTTCAAATTAAAACTGAACTTTATTGACTGTGTCCTTTTCCAAACTTTTTATTAATTTATTGTAATTAATTATTTGCATGCCATTAAAAACTAATTTTAAACGATGCCAAAGAAGGATAACTTCTCACGCGCCTACATAAGTACATGCACCCATTTTTTTTTGTCTCAAATCGGTCCCAACTCAGCATGTGCTGATGTTGCCATCAGCGCTGGTCTTCCGTTGGAACCGGTTTAGTGACAGTATAATATCCCTGTATTTTTTCTCCCTAGAAAAAAACATCCTACGCTGAGTTTCTTGCCGGTTCTTCTCTGTATAATACAGGGAGAAAAAACAGTTCTTGCTGAGTTTCTTCTGGTTCTTCTCTGTATAATACAGGGAGAAAAAAACAGCCCTTGTAGAGTTTCTTTCCGGTTCTTCTCAGTATAAAACAGGGAGAAAAAATCAGCCCTTCCTGAGTTTCTTGCCGGTTCTTCTCAGTATAATAAAGACAGAAAAAAACAGTCCTTGCTGGGTTTCGTCAGTTACATGCTTAAAAAATAAAACCGGCGAAGTGAGAGTCGGATTCGCGCACCGAGGGTTCCGTACAAACCTGATTTTTCAAAACATTTTTTATTATATGTTGTAACTAAAAATTTACGGTTGTCGCAATTATTCCTTTATCTGTACTATAAGACTTTACTTCGTACCAAATTTCAAGATTCTAAGTTCACGGGAAGTACCCTGTAGGTTTTGATTCCCGTGCGAGTTTAGAAAATTTGCGGAAATTTGCGGCATAAACGGCTGTATCTTTTGATAGCTTTAGCTTAGAAGTTTGATTTTTTCACTGCTCCAAGGGACATGAGTATTAGACATGAATTTCAGTTTGATACCTCCACGCGTTTTGAGAAAAACGGTCTTGACAGACGGACGGACGGACAACAAAGTGATCCTATAAGGGTTCCGTTTTTGCCTTTTGGGGTATGAAACCCTAAAAATATTAAATATTTATGTATTTATTCAACTCACCAGGGTATCCGCGCAGTGATAGCGGAGTCATTTGAACGCATCCACCGCTCCAACCTGGTCGGCATGGGCATAATGCCCCTACAGTTCTTGGACGGACAGAACTCTGACAGTTTGGGGTTGGACGGAAGTGAAACTTACTCCATTAACGTACCAGAGGGAATAGCGCCAGGGGACCTGCTCACTGTACAGGTAATATAACAGTAGAAGTATACAGACGGAGGGGTTGGACGGAAGTGAAACTTACTCCATTAACGTACCAGAGGGAATAGCGCCAGGGGACCTGCTCACTGTACAGGTAATATAACAGTAGAAGTATACAGACGGAGGGGTTGGACGGAAGTGAAACTTACTCCATTAACGTGCCAGAGGGAATAGCGCCAGGGGACCTGCTCACTGTACAGGTAAAAAATAACAGGAGAATAATAATAAATAATAATTATAATAAATATTTCCAAAACTCACACCAATTAGCCTAGCTCCAAAGTAAGCACTATAAGGCTTGTGTTATGGGATACTAGGGTAACGGATAGAATACATATACTGCACATATATAAGTATATTTATATAGAAATACATATTAAACATCCATGACTAGAGTAAAAATGCTCGTATATATCACACAAACATCTGCCCCCACCGGGATTTCAATCTAGGACCTCTAGAATCGGTGACAACATGAAACGCGGCGAATAAACCACTCGGCCACGAAGGTCGTCAGTATAAACATGGTCATTTACAAAAGACTTAGGCCCGTATTACAGAATGTCAACTAAGTGTTGATCTTTACTTGAGTACAGTTAGAGAGGGATATCGCTATGTGCTATATATAGCGACATCCCTTTCTAACTACGGTCAAGACTAGATCAATCACTGAGAATCTTTCTATAATACGGGCCTAAGTGTTTTTGTTTTAAATGTTAGGAAAAGAATTTACGATAACCATTGACAAGATGGTACAATGAAATAAAATAATTCAATGAAATTGAAATAATTCAATACTGAAAAATGATTATTTTAAAAAGTTTAACTTGAAAAAATTTGATTAAGGTGCTAGAAAAGAATTTAACAAAAAAAAAAAAATACAAAAATAACTATAAAAGATTAAAAGGGGACTTTTTGGCGGGATCGGAAAGCGTCACTTTAGCAGTTTTGTTTTTCTTGTTAAAAATTGTGTTGTGGCGGATGTTAGTATCTAATAATGGTGGATTATTAACCACTAAGTGTTCGGGAACATGCACAAGTGTTGGCAAGTGAAACAAAATAGCGGAAAGTGTCTTTCGACGTTCCCTCAAGAAGTCCTCGGTGAGGTTCCAGCAAATCCCCACACATTTACTGAAACATAGGGAAAGACTTGACTGCCACTTTGACTTGATTTATTACTTTGACCACGAGTGGTATAGTATTTGTAAACATTTTAACACTAGACATTGGCTAAATGCACAAGCCGTGCGAAGCCATTTAGAAAAAAAAAGTTTATTTAGAGCAAAGGTTAATATAATTTTACTGCAAAATAAATACTACACATAAAATATTTTACTAGAAAAATTGCTTTTTCTATAAGGCAACCGTTAATTATATTATCAGTTGGTGCAACAGCAATCACCAAAGACTCCTAGGTTCGAAACCCTATAAAGACAATTATTTGTATGATGATTAATGTTTTCGAGGAGCTCGAGGAGGTTGAAGTTAAACAACTTTCGTAATGGTCGGTCATTGGATGGGTGACCAAAAATCTTTTATCTCGAGTTCCTCCGTGCTTCCGAAGGCACGTTAAGCCGTTGGTCCCGGCTGCATCTGCAGTCGTTAGCACCCGCCAATCCGCACTGGGCCCGCGTGGTGGATCACGGCCCAATCTCCCTATTCCATCCATAGGGAAGCCATGAGCCCCAGCAGTGGGGACATTAATTGGCTGATGATGATGATTTATGTTAGTTCCTCATCCATAGTATAAACTCTACTTAGGTTAGAATTAAAATCTCTTATCTATTAGACAAGTCCGTCCGTCCGTCCGTGGTGCTGTTTCAGCGGCCAAACCGTAAGAGATAGATATAGAGAATGTTTAAGTTATAAGTTAAGAATAGTCTGATAAGACTACAAACCGGATGTGAGTAACGTAGCACTTCCGGTTTTCGAGAAATCACGTGATTTCTATTTCAAACGAAACCACACAAAATCTCTGAAGTTCTCAATTAATTAAATACTTTTTTTTTTTCTTTTTTTTTTTTTTTGACGATCATTTGGTTCACTGGTTTGCTAGTTATTCTTCTAATTTCTCCAGAATTTATTCTTATTGTTTTCCAACAGGTATCTACAGGAAAATCATTCCAAGCGAAAGTGCGTTTCGACACCGAAGTGGACTTGACGTACTTCAAGAACGGCGGTATACTCAACTACATGATCAGAAAGATGTTGTAAATAAACACTTGAAAGGTAATATTTTTGTACTAAGACATTCACGCAAGAAGCTCATGGAAATAAGTAATTTTATTTAATAATTGACTGGCAGGTAGTAAAAAAATATACCACCTCATACTTCTACCCCAGTCTACCCTATTCTACCTTAGTCTACCCTATTCTACCTTAGTCTACCCTACTTACCCTATTCTACCCTGCATTATTCAATGATCCACCAATTATGTTATGTGTCAAACACAATCTACGAATTGACAACATTAAATTGAATTGAAAAATATACATTGTACCCTGAATCACTATTCCAATATTTTGTCCAATCTTTAATTAAAATTACTTATTAAAATGAGCAATGAATGAAGAAAAAAAAATGTTTGTAATCAACTATTAGTGTGAACAAAAAATTGTTATTTATAAATAGGTAATATATGATATTTTTGGGGGAACATTAAGTAGATTTTTTTATGATTATTGTTTCAATTAAAGTGTACTAGCAACGGTGGCACTCAAAGACGAAAGTTAAATTTAAAGTTTTAAGTTGATAATGTTATTTTCTATGTCATAGCCACGGAAAGGATAAAAAAATCTATATCATGTAAAATTTATTAGCCAAATTAGGTCTTATTTGATAAGACCTAATTTGACTGATAAATTGTACCTAAGCTTATTTGACTTGTGGCCGAGTGGTAGGTTTCAAGGTGTCGCTTACTCGAGAGGTGCCGGGTTCGAATCCCGGTGAAGGCAGATGTTTGTGATGAATACGAGCATTTGTACTCCAGTCATGGATGTTTTATATGTATTTCTATATAAATATACTTATATATGTATCAGTATATGTATTCTATCCGTTACCCTAGCATCCCATAACACAAGCCTTACAGTACTTACTTTGGGGCTAGGCTAATTGGTGTGAGTTGGAAATATTTTATGTTTGATGTGTAACATCTTTCCTCTCGCTTCCCTGCAATTTGTGGGAGTGATTTCGTGAAATGGGACGGAAGTGTGTAACATTAAGTCGCGAAAGCGCGCGTTATTTGATTTGATTTTAGAACATAATGTTCAAATGGCTTATTCCTTTAGTAGTAGATTTTATTTCTTGTTTTACTAATATAAGGTGAGGTTTCAAATGTTACACATCATACGCGACTACTGTAAGGCTCGCTCTTTTTTTTTTGTATAATAAATATTTCCAACACTCACACCAATTAGCCTAGCCCCAAAGTAAACACTGTAAGGCTTGTGTTATGGGATACTAGGGTAACGGATAGAATACATATACTGCACATATATTAGCATATTTATATATAAATACATATTAAACATCCATGACTGGAGTACAAATGCTCGTATTCATCACACACACATCTGCCCCCACCGGGATTCGAACCTGAGACCTCTCGAGTCGGCGACACCATGAAACCCGGCGTCCAAACCACTCGGCCACGGAGGTCGTCAGTCATAATGTGTGCCACGCACAAAGTTATCCCAATATTCTTTTTACTATGGACATATCAATACGGAAAGGCGTAGCCATAGCGACATAGTATCTTCAAATCTGCCATTTTAAGAGGGGATTAGTACACAAATGTACTTTAACGTACTCATATATAAACAATGACTCAACACACCGCTAAATCCTCCCCCCACGAAAGCGGCTATCTAGAGCCGAGGTCCTCGTCTCAGAGACGCCCTCTAGTTGAGCCGACCCCCTCAGGTGCTCGTGGTCTAGAGGCTCCAGGCGGAGAGGAGGCTCCCCCCGCGGGGAGATACCATCCGCCTGGAATACCTCTAGAGGCACTCGCCAATTCTCTGCTTGAGGTCCCCTTAGTATCTCGCCGTCCCCAAACCCGGTGACGCTGTAAAGCTCATCTGCGGCCAACAGCATACACACTCAAATCGCTAAATCTTGCACACATGGCTTCACTTTTAATCAGTAATGTACGTCTTTGAGTGGACTGTTAGAGAGGTTGTTGTAATATTAAACTAAGTAAAGGTGCATTTCTAGACAAATAAATAGTTATGACGCTTGCAAAAGACAAAAATAAAATATCTTTAATATTGTGCGGTTTTAAATATTTGGTTCTTTATTTTTATTTTTTAAGGTTCTCTTTCTTATGAAGACGTGTCAGCTTTTGCTCCTGTCGTATATAAACGACAGCCGATTAATAAATAAAATTGTTCATGTCTTTAAATTAAGTCATATTTGTTCATTTATTTTTTTATACAATATATTTTTTTTTGAAATGAAACTTCTTTACGCACGCTTGACTTGGGGGTAGGCTGGCGAATGCGTTACGTGTTACAAAAAGTGTGTTCGGGCGAGGCGAACGGAAGTTGAGTGGGGGATATCAACAAGAGAAAGCAGTGCGCGCGAACATTTTCTATCTCTCTTTCTCTTATTAGCTATAATATATACATGTACGAGTATGTACACATAAATCAAATATGTATATATACATCTTTATATATATAATTCTTCTGTGAGTGTGTATGTCACTGAACTTCTCTTAAACGACTGGACCGATTTTGATGAAATTTTTTGTGTGTGTTCAAGGGGATCTGAGAATGGTTTAGATTCACAATTTTGTCCGCTGGACAACCCCTATTTTTTTAGGGCGGTACGAAGTTCGCTGGGTCAGCTAGTACATGTATATATTGTACACAACACATATATAAATACATACAGATGGAGCTAAAGAAGTTTCACTTCAGTGGTATGGTCATAAGCACACACGTTTTATTTTATTTAATCTTAAATTTTTTTTCTCTGATTTGTGTGTAATGTCAAATTTATGGTGGAAAGGTAATAATTGTATATGATAGTTTTGTAAAGGGTAATATTATTTAAAAGTAAAGGTGACTATTTATTATTTATACAGGATGTTACAAAAATACAAATAAAGCTTGAAGGGCGTTGAAGTACATCATATAAGGAGTCTTCTCTAATTTTTTTAAAATATTTTCAAGAAGTTTGAACTTTTTATATAAACAGTTATTTTTAATGATTAATAAAAATATCGATCATTTTAAGACACGTCACTAGTTCGAGGTCATGCACCGTACCAGGAGTAGTAATGAATCCGCTGTAATAAAGAAAATTAGAGAAGATTCCTTATATGATGTACTTCAACGCCTTTCAAGATTTATTTGTATTTTTGTAACACCCTGTATACAGGGTTGTAGTGTCACAACATAATTAAATAAATTGCATATTATTGTCATTTATATTGTTTTGGTTGTATCTAAATGTATGCACATATTTATATTGTGTCTGATTTGTTAAAAGTGGTTATTCCTAAGTAAAATAAATTTACATTATTATTTATCGGATCTTTTATTGATAAAACACGTAGGAGACCAGAGTTCGTTGGAAATTAGATCACAGCAGTGCAATAAAAGGAAGTGTGAAGTTAGCGAAGTATCAAGTTGGCATGATAGCGAAATAATATTATACTAAATTCTTATAACTGACTGAAACAGCTAAAACTAATGGTCAAATGGCTGTGCCCCGCCGGTATAAGAGGGATATTTTCCCGCAGTAAAACGTAGCTTATGTGTTAATCCAGGATGTCAGCTAACTCCAAACCAAATTTTATTAAAATCGCTCCAGCCGTTTAGACGTGAAGAAATAACAAACAAACACACTCACAAAGATTCGCCTTTATAATATTAGTGTGATTCATACTTGCTCAGAGTCAAACCGCATTCTAGAAATAGTGACATAGCAAAATCAACCTTATCTCCGTTACGTAATCCACATATTCGTTCTTAATGCTCGTCTGATAATCAGCGGAATTCGGCGTCTACTTTTAATCTCAGAAGGAATATGTACATTACGTTGCGGAGATAACGGTGAATTTGCTTTGTTACGTTGTTAAAACTCGCTTCGAATCTGCGTTATATGAATTGACTATCGATTGTCATGATGGTATTAACTTGACAGATATTATCATCAAACGTCAACCAGAATGAAGTTGTGTAAAGGAGACCCGGCACTTTTCATAGAAAAAATGCTAAACTTGTATACAGTTGAATTTGGTCTCAAAATAAAGCCAAAATTATTTGCTACATAAAACTACTTTTGCCTTATTTTTAGTGAATCGTGGAAAGAAGTTATTTAATGATTAATATTTTTTGATATAGAAACCCTTTTGATGACAAACCTACGTATTTGACATTGACAGCTAGCTGCTGATGACAAATATTGCCAGACTACGTTACCCAATTATGAAACACAGATAAAAAAATTAAAAAAGTATACAACTTTGACACAAAATGCCGGGTGTCCTTTATATTTTTCGATATTAAGTTATTGAATAAATGGTCAAAAATAGATTTTTTAAGATATTTACAACTTCATAATGATTGCAATATTTTTATTTTTTAAGCATTTAACTGCTAGATAGTTAAATGTCAAGAAAATTTTACTAGAACAAATTGAATGGATATTTTTCTTGTATTTCTTTTTCATAATGGTTGTCAAATTTAATGCGAAATTACCAAATTCAATGGGATGAATTTCGTAAATATCTTTTGAATTTTTAGTTGAAATAAGAAAATTGAGAGGAAATTCTCCAAATCCAGATACAGTATTTTTTTTAAATGAAAGAAGAACGGCGAATGTAGGCCCAAATGTTTTAGAAGCCGTTCAATGATAGAAACATTAAAATTTTGAATAAGGGGACGTACAGTAATTTTTAAAATATAAACTAGATATAATTTTTATTATTTTTAAAGCATGTAACTGCTTGATGTTTAAATCTAAAGAAAATATAACTAGAAAAAATTCCACGCGGACCAGGCAGCAGACGGGACTCGAACCCGCACCCTTCGCAATCCGGGCGAATGCACTGACCAATTATGCTACCTACATCAAGCAGTTACATGCTTTAAAAATAATAAAAATTATAACTATAATTGCTATTTCTTCTTTCAAATGTTTAATACTTGTAAAAGTATTAATTTGACATTGTGGGTTTACCTATAATGCGAAGAGATGGCGCTGCCTTGCAGCTTAAGAATAGCTAGAAAGAATTTCGACGCGGTCCGTGAGGGCCGCGGTAGCATAATTGGTCAGTGCATTCGCCCGGATTGCGAAGGGTGCGGGTTCGAGTCCCGTCTGCTGCCTGGTCCGCGTGGAATTTTTTCTAGTTATATTTTCTTTAGATATAAACTAGATTTTTAAAATCTTGCATTCACAAATAAAATAATTTAGGTTTCTATATCGAAACATCACATTAACCATAGCAATAATAAAACGCGAAAACAGTGTCCTGGTTCAGTTCTGGCTTATACAGTAGTTTTCACTTTAGAATAACATCAATAGCAGCTATTGCTCACTATATGTAACTAAATTGTTTTAATTATTTGATAAATTAAACAAAAGAAGTTAACGTTATCATAAGAAAGAAGAAGATACTTTATTTTTAAACATTTTTCTAATAAACGGATATTGATTTTTTACTTCTGTGAAACGGAAAAATATTTTTAAAATCTAATGTCAATTTTTGTTGTTTCGTTCGTTTCGGTGTTTAATATACGTAGAATATTTTATTGTGATTTTTCTGTCTATGGTGACGCGTTTTTGTATCGAGAAGAAGAAATATGATACGAAATCATGAAAATCACATTATAAATACATCATCACACTAACGTAAAATAGAAACACATTACTGTACCCTTAGTACGAGTTTGAGCTCACGAATGTGCCAGAAATGTACATTTTGGTGAAAAGTAACCAAATATACTTAAAATTTAAGAAGACGCAAACGATTTAATGATAGAATTTTTTCACTGTTTATTTGTATTGAAACGAAAACAATAAAATCAGTACTCTTAGTACGAGTGCGAGCTCACGAAAACTATCATAGTTTTCGAATTGTAAAACTCGTACTAAGGGTACTGTAAGCTAAGTAAAACATAACCTCACTTTTAATATGAGTCCTACTACTTATATCTTTATTGTGCCAGCTTTAATTGATTGTGTCTACTAGACTTTTTTGTTAGTTTTATTTAGCAGTACGAAAATCTATAAGTTTCATTCGTGAACGTCGCCTTGAAGCCTGGGTCTCAAATTATTTGGAAGTTCGCCATTCTTCTTTATTATAAAAAAATGAAACAAGTAATTTGTAATAAAGGTACACGTTTATTTACTACATACAAGATTCCGTTTTTCCGTTATTCCCAAATAAAAAGGCGAAGTCTACAGCTCACAGATATTTTTACACTCCGTCAAAGGAAACTATACTCATAATATAATAATAATATTTATATATTTTCTTCTAGAAAAATTACGCCTAAGTTTCATTTTATTTTTCATAAAAAGTTTCCCATTTATGGCCAATCATCTTATTATCTAAAATTACACAATTTTATTTCGAAAATACACAAAAAATGTATTTATTATATAATTATGTGTACATAAAAAAAAATTACAAATGTTTTTTTTTCATTAAGAATACATTTTTTCTAGTATACATATCGATAAAGAAGCGAGCTTTCGATTTAATTTCTGTTTTAATCAATTTGTATAAAAGTTAAACAATCTTTTAGTAATATCTTCCTTATTTGGTTATTTTTTAAATTAATTATAAGAACAATTTTACTTCTTTATGATATAACAGACAGACATACCAAGATTGTTTTCGTTACTACAAATTGATTTTAAACAGAATTTACGTATGTACTTAAAATCCTTAAAAAATATGTTTTTATAATGATGTGTACGAATATTGCTTTTGAATTACATATATTACTAAAATTAATATTGCACCTAAATACAGACATTTTTTTTAATAATATACAAAAACTTTGTAAATAAAAAAATATTCTAAAATGAAATTACAAAAATCACAATATATTATTAAATTTATTTTCAAGATAAAAATACGGTCATACATAGGTTTTCTTCATAGTGTATCAATCAATTATAATATGTATTTAATTCTAAATAACTTTATCACTAACACAGTTTATTGCTTAAAATTAAAATTATCAGCTAAGGGTATTATTAATAAATTCATTTCTTTTAGTTTGAAGATATATTAACAATGTGGGCACACAAGTGTGGTGACAAGTACCTTACGTAAACACTTGTTTAAAAAAATTGGTTAATTAAAATAATATTTATTATAACAATATTACCAGTGCCAAAACTAGAAATGTTTAAAAAAAGTCCTATACCGTACAATTCTAATATATAATAAAATTCCGATAGAAATTAAAAGAGAAAGCAACATAATACATTTAAAATGAAACTCAAACAAACATCTTATCAAGAAAGCATACGATTCGGTAAATGAATTTATGAATGATAAGTGAAACCGTCACGGAAAGCTCACTAGCTTGTTTGAAACTGAAACTGTTTAGTAGTTGTATAGATATAGATATTATACTTGCAACACCCTGACAGGGTCATGTACCATGCTAAAATAATTTTAAGATCCTTTATATACTGTACATGTGCAATTAATTAAATAAAATACAGATGGCCGTTCGAAGCGGTTTGTTTTGTTTTTCCGGGTTGCATAATGTTCGTTTTGAAGTGATTGTGCCTTAGGTAATCATAATAGCGTGTCCACTAAATTATAATGCAGCCTGAATCACACTCTTTTAAAAGTGTACAACTCCCGCTCATAAAGAAACCACTCTATTATCTGCTAGAAATGTAGATTCTTTATAAAGAATAAATATGTCAATTTATCAAAAAAAAACTTATCCCTCAAAAAATACCTATTTATTGAATTATTTCCTTTTTATTTAAAAAAAAAATGGATGCGTGTAACTTATGTACGCGCGTGAGAAGTTATACTTCTTTAGCATCATTAAAAATATTTTTTTAATTGCATGCAAATAATTAATAATTACAATAAAATAATAAAAGGACTGGAAAAGGATAGTTAACACAGTCAATTAAGTTCAGTTTTAATTTGAAAAATTAAATAAATATTCAAAATATTCAATTAAAATCACTACTGAATTTAAGTTATTAGTCCATATGTAGCACTTGTAAGTAACTAAAACACGTTGTGTCTATATAGAAACTAGAAACATGTGGATAAATATTATAAATATGAAAACAGTGATCAGAGGCGACGAGCGTGCCAACATTGTTTTTGACAACGCGATCATCTTATGGAGCTCCGTGGATCGTTCAAAGTACCTTTCGAACAGATGTCTATAATTAGACACTAACAATTATAACGCGCCCGCGGCCAACTTCATGGTGTTACTATTGTGTTACAGTGATGCGCGCGCATCTCGAAATTTCACTCATCATTTTTCATAACGCGCCTAAAGAAGTATAACTTCAAAAATCGCGCGTGATCCAATCAACATACCTACCATATAAGAACAGTTCAGTAGTAAGATTACTAATTAAAATTTTGGGTCTAAAATAAAATCATCGTCACCCATCACCAGCCTATTAATGTCCCCACTGCTGGAGCACAGGCCTTTCCTATGGATGGAATAGGAAGATTTATTAGGAATAGGAAGAAAATAAAATGAAACAAGTGGAATTTTAATTGAAACTTAATAAAATGTTGCCAACTATTTAACCGTATTACATATATAGTTGCCACAATTTGTCGGATGTCCTTAGTACATTGTACTTTTTTATAAAATTTTTTTTAGTAAAGCTAAGTTTAGTTTAAGTTCTATAAAGATGGAGAAAATAAAAAAATATGTGGCTGTTTTTACATTAGGTAAGGACGGACAACAGGACATGAGATGACCAAAAAATATAAAAATTCCGGACAAAAAAAAATCTAAATTTTTGACAGTTTTAACTTCAGTGTTTACATAAGATTCTTATCTCCTAGGTAGATAGACGCGCCTGAAGAAAATGACGCCTTTCTGTTTTTTTAGAAGATACAATAGATTGTTTGACATCGGATATTTACTTTCAATTCAGACAGCATAATTAAAAAATAAATTTTTGGTAATTAATTTATTGATAAATTTTTATCCAACTTATAAACCTTAGGAACAGTTATGGATAAATGATTCTCTAAGGAGTTCAGTTCTTGAGTTTATGAGCACACAATTAATAAATATGAAATTTTAGTATTATTGTTGAAAACTGCGTAATAATAGGACTAGTGACAATTTTGATCCATTCTAAATTAACGAGACGTTTTAAAACGACATTCGAGACTTCATAAGCAGGCGACATAATCTGTTGCTTTTAAGTGAAATGACTAGAAAAACGTGTTAAATGGATAAAATATAATCTCATTGCCCCCTATGAAGGAGTCTTCTTGCGTATTACGCTCGCAGCATATGAATTTTTAACCTAGAATGTGTATTCCGCCACAATATTTACACGTTATTGAAGTTAATCTAAAAGCCGATCGATTATCCTAATAAAAAATGTAAAATTCTTTATTAACACTTAGAAATAAGTCTTTGGTGTTACAATCGTTTAACGATTAGCAAATGAAAATTATGAAGCGGGGTTTTTATTTTATTTGTAAAAAAGAACGCGCTATGATTGGCTAGCGTTGTACCAATCAGGCGAGGGCGCGGAGGGTATATAAGGCGAGCGCGCTGGCGAAGGAGCTCAGTCGGTGTGTGTCTGCCGATGCGAACATCGGCGTTAGTTCGTCCGCGTGCGCCGTGTGAGCGCCGCCCAAAGTATGGAACTGGAAGATGTCGCTGACCTGAGGGAATAAGTAAATTTGTGTTAATAATTTATGGCAGGTTAAGACGCGATCGCAGTTTCTAAATCGGTCAGTAATGGCGATCAAGAACTGGTTAGCACTGTTTACAGACTTCATAGACATGACGTCGGTGCTGTACTGTATTTTTCTACAAATAAATGTCGCACTATCCCACCTCAGGACTGATTCGATTCGAATTTTGAGTCAGAAACTAACTCTGTGTAACCCCCGATTTGGTATGAGATGGTTTGATAAACTGTTAAATTTGAGCTAAATTGTATCTATCTTTGGAATTCACTAGTCTCGTACACTTTGTTGAAGAACGGTGCCCGAATTTAAAAGAAAACGTGTTGTATCAACAAAACCTAGAATTATGGTTTTAACTTTAAGAATTCAGACTTATCCATCTAAATCTTAAAATGAGATTCGCTCAATCTCTCTAAGATTCTCTAAATTCACTATCATATCCTAAAGAGAAGTTCCAAAAACTATTATATCATCGAAATATACTAAGCAGCTTATTTTGAAGGTTTTTTTTAGAACATTGGCCATATCTCTTCGAAAGATAGAAAGGGGATTCTTCAAGTCTATGGACATCCTAGAGACCTCATGTTGCACATTTTCAATGTTAATACAGTTTAGTGAATTTCAGTTGGGTCTATATCTATCTGGTAAAAGTCACTTGTAAGGTCTAATGTATAAACTTCATCATAAGCCTATTAATGTCCCCACTGCTGGGGCACATGCCTTCCCTATGGATGGAATAGGGAGATTGGGCCATGACCCACCACGTGGGCCCAGTGCGGATTGGTGGGTGCTAACGACTGCAGATGCAGCCGGGACCAACGGCTTCACGTGCCTTCCGATGCACGGAGGAACTCGAGATAGAACATTTTTGGTCACCCATCCAATGAAATCATCCTCGCTGTGTAAACTTGTCAGGTGATAATATGTAGTATGTGTGAGTGTAGACACTTCGCACTTTTCTTAATATGTTCCTGGTTCGTTTTTAATTATAATAATATTCGTCGTCGGAATATAGATTGAGGTGTAGATTTTCTAAGTCTACTCAAAGAAAGCTTCAATTTGATAGTCTATCGTTCAAATTTAGTATAACCTTAAATTTAATAAATTAAATTTCGTTTGAACTTCGTTATCGAAAGTTCGTTTTGGAGAAAGAGAGTAGACCTGTTCTTAGCACAATACGAGTACCTATAAAGTGTGTGTATTGTCAAAAGACAATGTGTACCTTCAATTTCATTAACTAATTTCTGGCTAATTGGTGTGAGGAAATATTAAGTCTGGAAGAAAAGAAAAAGAAACTTTTTACTAGAAAAAAAAATCACGCCGACCGCAGCAGACGGGACTCGAACCAGCACCCTTCGCTATCCAGGCGGATGCACTAAAATTGCCATTTCTTCTCTCAAATGTTTAATACTTGTAAAGGTATTCGTTTGACATTGTGGGTTACCTACAATGCGTGTCATGTAGCCTAAAATATACTAGAGAAAATTGGACACGGCCATTAAGGCCGCGGTAGCATAATGGTCAGTGCATCCGCCCGGATAGCAGAAGGTGCGGGTTCGAGTGCCGTCTGTTGCCTGGTCCGTGTGGAATTTAGCTTCATAAACAGCCACAGCCTGCAGGTTGGTCAATAGATGTGTGATAATTATTTATAGTAAGAATTATTGTTGTAAAAAGACCAAAGGAAGGGGTAATTCCTCCCGACCGATGTCGTATAGTCAGGCTCTGTATATATTATGTTGGCACCGTATTTCGTAAGCGCGATGTAGAATTTCCATACGTAGCGCCATCTCTTGACAAAGCGAGTGATTTCATACTCAATTATTTATTATGTGAGGTGTGTCGAATGTCGCCACTACCAATAGAGCTGGTGCGGCCTGTGAAGTGGCTGAAAAAGCTAAAGCATGCAAATTCAGGGGTCTAGGCTCCGAATATGATTTTGTCCCATTCGGTGTCGAGACCCTTGGTCCGTGGGGTCCTAGCGCTGTAAGGCTTTTTAAAGAAACAGCAAAAAGGTTAGTCGACATCACAGGAGACCGAAGAGCTGGCAGCTACCTCGGACACAGAATTAATCAAGCTATTCAAAGGGGGAATGCTGCCAGTATCTTCAGAACCTTGCCTCAAGGCACTCCTTTTAATAATATATTTTTTAAGGTTCATTGTTCTCGTATATATATATTTTTATTTCTTTAATTAAGACAGATAATGGTGTCGTTTCTGGCGTGATTCTCTGAACTTAAAACTAAATTTAACATCAGTCTCTCCTTTTCATTCTGTATAGAGAATGAAAAGATAGATGCACTGTTATCAAATTTAAGTTTAGCTTTAGAAAATCATGCCAGAATCGACATCATTGTAAAGATAATTTATGGTGTGTACATATTATGTGGCGGCGACATCCACATGCCCCACACATAATCAACATGGAGGAAATAGTCACTCGCCTCCTCGAGAGGTGGCGCTACCGGCGCTCCGTTCACAACGCATGGAAGCCTACATCGCGCAAGAGAAATTCGGAGGCTAACACTCCATATAAACAATGCCCGACCAACATCAGTCGGACCCCACGACAACGGCTAAGGCCGTCAGAGACGCCCTCTAGTTGAGTCGACCCCCTCAGGTTTGAGTGGTCTTAGAGGCTCCAGACGGAGAGGAGACGACATCCGCCTGGAATACCTCTAGAGACACTCGCCAATTCTCGGCTTGAGGTCCTCTTAGGATCTCGCCGTCCCCAAACCCGATGACGCTGTAATGGTCATCTGCGATCAACAGCATATAGCTACCATCACCCAGCTCGGAGGAAGATCTTCCTACATCTAGTTTGAATATTTACCTCGTTCCATCCGTATCTGTTCTTGGCCTGCACAATGGCTTCGTAAACGGCCGCAGCCTGTAAGTTGGTCAGTAGATGTGTGACGCGGTGCGTGAGGGAGCCGGCGGGCGAGGGTGCTGGGATTACGACGTCGTGCCAGCGACCGGGCTGCTGGAATGACTCGTTTATCTGGAGAGAACAAACAATTTTTGGAGTTTACTCCTTAAGAATCGATTTGCATATGTAAGGGGCCCGGTATGAGAAAAATGTGAGGAGTGAAATCTATCGATGAATGACCTCGTTACGTTTTTGGTGCGCACCCTATGTCGCGCAACTTTGACAAACAAAGATGACGGATTGACATTAATATTTTTTTTTAAATCTGAACTGAATTTAGATATTGTTTCTGATAGAGCAATGGGGACAACGAGGTATGGTACAACCGTTGATGCGGTATTTTCAAGATTCGTGAACCACGTATCTACGAACGTCCATGTGTCTTATTTTAGTTACCATAAACCACTTATCACTGTAATTAATAATGCAGACAATGTTGATTTAATTAATATTTAAAAAAATGATAATAGTTTCATAATAATAATTACATAATTTATCAACATTCCTAATGATATATTTATGCATGTCTGAAATTGACTATTGTAAAAAGTTTAATGTAAAATATTTCGTCGATTAGTTATAATAAATGTATATGAAATGAATAAATATATATTTATGTATGTATATTATTTTCATTAATTTGTTAATTTACCCTTTCATACAGTATCAATCTTTTTTAAGTTAAATAAACTCTTTTTGCGTCTGGTTAGACTATCGAACTTAAGGAGTAAACTCCAGTCGTGCGTCGGAGCTGACACACAATTTTTTTTTAATTGGTGTGCTTAAACTAAGTATTAATTAAATCTAAAGAAATATAACTAGAAAAAATTCCACGCGTACCAGGCAGCAGACGGGACTTGAACCCGCACCCTTCGCAATCCGGGCGAATGCACTGACCAATTATGCAACCGCGGCCCTCACGCAGCGCGTCGAAATTCTTCTAGACATTCTTAAGCTGCAAGGCAGCGCCATCAATTCGCATTATAACCCATAATGTCAAATGTATACTTTTACAAGTATTAATATTTATTTAAATATCCACGCGGACCACGCGGATTTTTTTTGAAGTTATACTTCTTTAGGCGCGTTATGAAAAAATTATGAGAGTGAAAGTTTTAGATGCGCGCGCATCACTGTAACCCAAAAGTAACAGCATGAAGTTGGTCGCGGGCGCGTTATGAAAAAATCATGTGAGTGAAATTTCGAGATGCGCGCGCATCACTGTAACACAATAGTAATACCATGAAGTTGGCCGCGGGTGCGTTATGAATGTTAGTGTCTAATAATGGTGGATTATTAACCACTTAGTGGTTATTTTTTGATTATTTTATATATTTTTTTGATTTAAAATATTCATTTTTTCACCTTATTTTGACTTAATATCCAAAAAGCACCCTTATTTTCAATCGAAAATTCTCACGTCAAAATATCTGCTTTTTTAAAAAAGTTGGGGTGTTTTTTGTTTGTTGAAATCTCTACTTTCTGATGGTATAAAATATACACTACTATGATAAATGTTCTCAGAAAATGCAAATTAATAATGAAAAAAACTCGAATCCTAAAATCCTATTTTTAATACCTACTTACAACAACTATTTTTGCATGTTTTATGGATTTGCAATTTTTCTGTTTATCAATATAACATGAAATCTTACGTTTTTCGAGTAATTAAAGTGTAAATTTTAATAAATAGTTCAAAATTATACATAATGGTTCAAATCAATTTTTCGGATTGGAGTTTTTTTCATTATTAATTTGCAGTTTCTGAGAACATTTAAAATAGTAGTGTATATTTTTTTTATACCATCAGAAAGTAGAAATTTCAACAAACAAAAAACACACCAACTTTTTTAAAAAAGCAGATATTTTGACGTGAGAATTTTCGATTGAAAATAAGGGTGCTTTTTCGATATTAAGTCAAAATAAGGTGAAAAAATGAATATTTTAAATCAAAAAAATTACTGTATATTTGGGACATACAAAGGTAAGTTTTCACCAAATTTCGTGAAAAAATATTTTTTTTTGCAAAAAATAAAAATCAAAAACTAAAAACTCGGTTATTCGCATTTTTCACATAAATTTTGAGGTTATGTGAAAAAAGTGTCAATACAAAAGTTGTAGATCTTTTTATTACCTACAACTTTGCCATTTAACTGTTTTTCATAGGACTTGCAGTTTTACCGGAAATCGAGATTAACCATTTTTTACCCTTAAAAACTCACCCCCTCCCCCTTCCCGACCTCAGATCGCCCGTAATTTATTTTTCCTTTCATTTTTGTTATATTCTCTACCTTTTCTAATGGATTTCATCCTACTATAATTTTTTTTAGTCTCAAAAATTATCGACCCTGATCTATTACACGCATCCATTTTTTAGTTATATTTTCTTTAGATTTAAACATCAAGCAGTTACATGCTTTAAAATAATAATAATTATTACTAAGTATTATTGTTTGTATTTACATATATTATTTACTAGCGGCCGCCCGCGACTTCGTACGCGTGGAGATAGTTAGTAATAAAGGTTCACTGCTCGTTCCCCGTAGGTGATAGCGTGATAATATGTAGCCTATATGTTGACCCGACTTCTTAATAATATTCGTGCCAAATTTTAAGTAAATCCATGCAGTACTTTCTGAGTTTATCCCGGACATATATACAGACAAACAAACAGACAAAAATTCTAAAAATATATATTTTTGGCGGTATCGATTGTAGATCACACCCCAAGTATTCTTTTAAAAAAATATTCAATGTACAGTTTTGACTTTCCTACCGTTTTATTATACGTATAGATTGTATAGGTAAGAATTGTACGTGTACGAGTGAGTATATATAATGCAATTCAACTAAGAATAGGACCGACTGGGCGCCATATTTTGACGTCATAGCTGTCAATTCTAACCAAATAGGTAGAGTGAGCAAAAAATTTTTGTCATTTAATAAAACTTATTTACTAAGATTAAGTGAGACAAACATCAGATTTTTTAATAAAATCAATTTACTAAGGTTGAGAAAGAACACAACCGATTTTTAATAGTATTTCTTCATTAAGAAGACATTAATCAGAATCTAGCTCTTCAATTTCGCTCATCTCTGCATTACCGTCGTAGAAGTTATGAATAATCATGTAGGTCACATGCATTTTATATGTAAACTAAAGTTTTAAATCGAGTTTCTGAACGCAATATAAAATGACAGTTGGTTGACGATTTATGTTATCAACCATTCATAGCCAATACTCAATAAGTGAAAAAAATAATTAAACACTTGTTATTGTTTGTTTAAAAATGTTCGGTTTATATTCTAGAATCAGCTGAGTGCTAAAAAAGTGTTTCGAGATTTTTTTGCAAACCGTACTTCTCAAGCGAAATTTGACAGATGGAGGTCATTGGCTTTCCTATTCTTATTTGAATCGCATTATATGTTTAAGTATGAATGTATTTATGTATGTGTTTATACTCACAGCCAACTGCCTATAGAGCAGCCTCAGCTCGTCGAGCGGCGGGTAGCTGTCCACAGTGAATGAGAGTGTGTACTCGTGGGGCCGGCGCGCTATGTATGTGTATATACTCACAGCCAACTGCCTATAGAGCAGCCTCAGCTCGTCGAGCGGCGGGTAGCTGTCCACAGTGAATGAGAGTGTGTACTCGTGGGGCCGGCGCGCTATGTATGTGTATATACTCACAGCCAACTGCCTATAGAGCAGCCTCAGCTCGTCGAGCGGCGGGTAGCTGTCCACAGTGAATGAGAGTGTGTACTCGTGGGGCCGGCGCGCTATGTATGTGTATATACTCACAGCCAACTGCCTATAGAGCAGCCTCAGCTCGTCGAGCGGCGGGTAGCTGTCCACAGTGAATGAGAGTGTGTACTCGTGGGGCCGGCGCGCTATGTATGTGTATATACTCACAGCCAACTGCCTATAGAGCAGCCTCAGCTCGTCGAGCGGCGGGTAGCTGTCCACAGTGAATGAGAGTGTGTACTCGTGGGGCCGGCGCGCTATGTATGTGTATATACTCACAGCCAACTGCCTATAGAGCAGCCTCAGCTCGTCGAGCGGCGGGTAGCTGTCCACAGTGAATGAGAGTGTGTACTGGTGGGGCCGGCGCGCTATGTATGTGTATATACTCACAGCCAACTGCCTATAGAGCAGCCTCAGCTCGTCGAGCGGCGGGTAGCTGTCCACAGTGAATGAGAGTGTGTACTCGTGGGGCCGGCGCGCTATGTATGTGTATATACTCACAGCCAACTGCCTATAGAGCAGCCTCAGCTCGTCGAGCGGCGGGTAGCTGTCCACAGTGAATGAGAGTGTGTACTCGTGGGGCCGGCGCGCTATGTATGTGTATATACTCACAGCCAACTGCCTATAGAGCAGCCTCAGCTCGTCGAGCGGCGGGTAGCTGTCCACAGTGAATGAGAGTGTGTACTCGTGGGGCCGGCGCGCTATGTATGTGTATATACTCACAGCCAACTGCCTATAGAGCAGCCTCAGCTCGTCGAGCGGCGGGTAGCTGTCCACAGTGAATGAGAGTGTGTACTCGTGGGGCCGGCGCGCTATGTATGTGTATATACTCACAGCCAACTGCCTATAGAGCAGCCTCAGCTCGTCGAGCGGCGGGTAGCTGTCCACAGTGAATGAGAGTGTGTACTCGTGGGGCCGGCGCGCTATGTATGTGTATATACTCACAGCCAACTGCCTATAGAGCAGCCTCAGCTCGTCGAGCGGCGGGTAGCTGTCCACAGTGAATGAGAGTGTGTACTCGTGGGGCCGGCGCGCTATGTATGTGTATATACTCACAGCCAACTGCCTATAGAGCAGCCTCAGCTCGTCGAGCGGCGGGTAGCTGTCCACAGTGAATGAGAGTGTGTACTCGTGGGGCCGGCGCGCTATGTATGTGTATATACTCACAGCCAACTGCCTATAGAGCAGCCTCAGCTCGTCGAGCGGCGGGTAGCTGTCCACAGTGAATGAAAGTGTGTACTCGTGGGGCCGGCGCGCTATGTATGTGTATATACTCACAGCCAACTGCCTATAGAGCAGCCTCAGCTCGTCGAGCGGCGGGTAGCTGTCCACAGTGAATGAGAGTGTGTACTCGTGGGGCCGGCGCGCTATGTATGTGTATATACTCACAGCCAACTGCCTATAGAGCAGCCTCAGCTCGTCGAGCGGCGGGTAGCTGTCCACAGTGAATGAGAGTGTGTACTCGTGGGGCCGGCGCGCTATGTATGTGTATATACTCACAGCCAACTGCCTATAGAGCAGCCTCAGCTCGTCGAGCGGCGGGTAGCTGTCCACAGTGAATGAGAGTGTGTACTCGTGGGGCCGGCGCGCTATGTATGTGTATATACTCACAGCCAACTGCCTATAGAGCAGCCTCAGCTCGTCGAGCGGCGGGTAGCTGTCCACAGTGAATGAGAGTGTGTACTCGTGGGGCCGGCGCGCTATGTATGTGTATATACTCACAGCCAACTGCCTATAGAGCAGCCTCAGCTCGTCGAGCGGCGGGTAGCTGTCCACAGTGAATGAGAGTGTGTACTCGTGGGGCCGGCGCGCTATGTATGTGTATATACTCACAGCCAACTGCCTATAGAGCAGCCTCAGCTCGTCGAGCGGCGGGTAGCTGTCCACAGTGAATGAGAGTGTGTACTCGTGGGGCCGGCGCGCTATGTATGTGTATATACTCACAGCCAACTGCCTATAGAGCAGCCTCAGCTCGTCGAGCGGCGGGTAGCTGTCCACAGTGAATGAGAGTGTGTACTCGTGGGGCCGGCGCGCTATGTATGTGTATATACTCACAGCCAACTGCCTATAGAGCAGCCTCAGCTCGTCGAGCGGCGGGTAGCTGTCCACAGTGAATGAGAGTGTGTACTCGTGGGGCCGGCGCGCTATGTATGTGTATATACTCACAGCCAACTGCCTATAGAGCAGCCTCAGCTCGTCGAGCGGCGGGTAGCTGTCCACAGTGAATGAGAGTGTGTACTCGTGGGGCCGGCGCGCTATGTATGTGTATATACTCACAGCCAACTGCCTATAGAGCAGCCTCAGCTCGTCGAGCGGCGGGTAGCTGTCCACAGTGAATGAGAGTGTGTACTCGTGGGGCCGGCGCGCTATGTATGTGTATATACTCACAGCCAACTGCCTATAGAGCAGCCTCAGCTCGTCGAGCGGCGGGTAGCTGTCCACAGTGAATGAGAGTGTGTACTCGTGGGGCCGGCGCGCTATGTATGTGTATATACTCACAGCCAACTGCCTATAGAGCAGCCTCAGCTCGTCGAGCGGCGGGTAGCTGTCCACAGTGAATGAGAGTGTGTACTCGTGGGGCCGGCGCGCTATGTATGTGTATATACTCACAGCCAACTGCCTATAGAGCAGCCTCAGCTCGTCGAGCGGCGGGTAGCTGTCCACAGTGAATGAGAGTGTGTACTCGTGGGGCCGGCGCGCTATGTATGTGTATATACTCACAGCCAACTGCCTATAGAGCAGCCTCAGCTCGTCGAGCGGCGGGTAGCTGTCCACAGTGAATGAGAGTGTGTACTCGTGGGGCCGGCGCGCTATGTATGTGTATATACTCACAGCCAACTGCCTATAGAGCAGCCTCAGCTCGTCGAGCGGCGGGTAGCTGTCCACAGTGAATGAGAGTGTGTACTCGTGGGGCCGGCGCGCCAGCGGGGCCGACGTGAAGCGCGCGGGGCCCGGCCGACCCGACACCTCCACGTGGCGACGAGACCGACCCAGGCTGTTGTCCGCCACGCAACTAGCGGGGGGAATGATAATAATGAATTAATAAATTCTTTATTTATTTCTTCACATAAGTAGAAAAAAAACAGTTACAATAAAGTGCTTCGTTACAATATTTAATTGCTATTAAGCAATTGCTACGTTAGTAGACGACTATTGATTGCCTAGTATTTAAATAAACCTGTTGTACAAAACACCAAGCCTCCACTTCCAAAACTACATGATCAAAGCAAGCCAACTTTGTTCCATTTATGTGATCACTATATTTATTTATATGAGAAGTGGCTAAGAAACAAATAATAACACAATAATAAAACTAAAATAAAAAAGTAATTGTGTGTGTGGGTATGTGTGTGTGTGTGAGAGAGTGTGTGTATCAGTGTGTGTGTGTGTGAGAGAGAGAGAGAGAGAGAGAGAGAGAGAGAGAGAGTGTCTGTGTATCAGAGTGGGTGTGTGTGTGTGTGTGTGTGTGAGAGAGAGTGTGTGTATCAGAGTGTGTGTGTGTGCGCGTATGTTTCTATATGTATATGTATTTATATTTAACGTTTCCCATATGTGTTTTATTTATTACCATTCCATTGAGGAAACAGTATTGATAAAGACATTTGTCTCTTAGATTTTCACGCACATCACTCATTAAATATAACAAGGTTCAACGGGTTAGATGCACTGATTTTATTTATTTATTGACGTTTCGCAGCCTTTACAGGACGCGTCATCGGAATTATGATTTTCTTTACTTTGTCGAGCTACCTTCAAAAGACTTTGGAAGGTAGCTCAACAAAGTAAATAATTATATATTTTGTTTCTTAGGTTTCCACGCACATCACCCATTAAATAAAAAACGCAATCAAATCAGTGCATTTCACCCGTTAAAACTTGTTTCAATTAAAGTAAATAAAATCATATTTCCGACGACGCGTCCTGTAGAGGATGCGAAACGTCAATAAATAAATAAAATCACTGCATCTAACCCGTTGATACTTGTTTTATTTATTGGTAGTAATGCTTGCGAGACTATTTAGGAGTGATAGAACAGATAGCCGATATTATAAACGACATTATCTTATTACAATGCACTAAATCTAATGAGAGCTTAGCAATATTTAAGCAAAAACTAGGTGTGAATATATATATGTTCGTGTATGTTGTCGTATATATAAGAGGTTGTGTCTTTATACTTATTATTATAGGATCGGGGCAAGTAAACATTTTGTTAAATTAAATTATTAAATTTTGTTTGACACCATTAAAAGAGAAAGTATTTTTATTAAATACATTTATTTCATTTTCATTTATTTCACATTGCACATATACAGTATCTATATATATATATATATATATATCTTCTTATATGGCGATTTTTGCTATTGATCCTGCGTCCGACCGACTTGATGCGACCGGTATACGGACGCAAGATTAACCTAGCCTCATTTTTTGTGCAAAGACGTCTTTTCATGCATAGAATGCATGGGCAAAAATTTGGCGTGGACTCAATTTCATCACCAGAATGCTTTTTACCCGGCTGCACAATGCAAGAGCGCGAAGCGCGACGCGCAGACAGGGTTATGTGTTTAACAGTCTATATATGTATGTTTGTTCCTTTGTGGCACACTAGAGACCAAACGCCTGGACCGATTTTGATGATTCATACATCAATCGATTCGTCTCGATCATGGGAGTGCTACTAAAGATATGATAGTGATCAAAATTCAATATGGGCAAAATTAGGCGCCATATTGTGACGAAGTAAAAAAAATAAGTTGACAAAATATGTCGAGTGGGGTATCACTGTCTAGATAATCAAAAATCATATTTAGGTTCCTAACACCATTTTTCATTTTATATGATTGTTTAGGATCTACAACGCTTTAAAGTTGTATATTAACCACTTACGCTTTTAATTTCAATCTTACGTTTGTATGGATCTTTGTTACTCTTTCACCTAAAAAATACTGAATGGATTTTAATGAAACTTAACAGTAATATAGCTCATATATGACAATTACATATATATAATAATTTATGTAGTTATTGAGTGAATTGGCCAATATACAGCAATAAGTGTCACATAAGACGGAAAAAATGTCCCATCTGCGAGCCATTTTGGCTGCACTGCAAAAACAATAAAAGTTACATGAATGTAATGTAAAATGAAAATGTATCTCTTAAATAGTTCTAAAAAAAATCAGTAACACCATATATCTATTTTTAATGTGTAAGTCATTACCGCTAAAATAGTGAATCAAAACTAAAATATTATTTGATATCTATTTCCAAAATGCACATTTTGTATTAACAAATCATTTTTTATCAAAACAAATACTTTAATTGCTTTTGATATTTAAAGACGATAAACTTTGCTTTTTACACTATGTCATTTCGACAAATATTTAAAAGTTACAACGATGACAAAGTGATAGCGCGGTGTACTAAGTAAAAGAAAAACATTAAAACTGTGATACAGTTCCTTCTTATTAAATGATGAAAAATATATTATCATAATAGGTATTTAGGATTATTGAATTTTAATGAAAAACTCAGAATTTTACTGTTTTTCATTTTTTTAACGATATTACTTAAGGTTACAAAAAAGGTTTACTTAATGACAAATACCCATTTTTCGCTAGTAAGTACATACTTATTGGAATCCCTGTATTTATTAATCAGCTCGCGATAATATTGGTTTTGTAATAATTCTGCAAAATTCAAAGTAAATAATGTAGATTTTTATAGGTAAATCACCCCTTTCATCACCCTACGCCTATAAGTATTGCGATGTTGTAGCTAAGAACCAAGATCCCATCTACTTCTATATGGGAATTCATTATATTCGATTTAGCTATTAGGGCACGGAAGCGCAACAAACAAACTCACTTTCGCATCTATAATATTATATTATACTTACTAGTGATCCACCCGGGCATTGTACGGACGAAATTTATTTATCGGGATAAAATATAGCCTATGTCACTCGGACAAAATGTATTTAAATAAAGAAAAATGTGATAATAAATAATGTAGCTACCTTATGATGAATTAATATTTGAAACCGGTTCAGTAGTTTGACAGATTATTTGTTACAAACATAGAAATCTCCCCTCTTTATAATATTAGTATAGATAGTTAGGATAAGATAAGTATTTAATTGATGAAAAAGATTTAAAAATAAAGTAAGTTATAGGTTTATTTGATTATATTTGTAAAAGTTACTTAGCATTTGTGCTTAACAGTGATACGTTATTCGGTATTTTTATAACAAAAAAAAAATTGCCATGATTGCACTACTGGGAGTACTCTTCATTCGAGCTTTACACTACCAATAAAAAAGGTAAATTTAAAAAATCAAGAAACCCGACTGCTTAATTATACTTCAAATAAAAACTGAAAAGAAAAAAACAAGTCCAGTAGTCTATAATTCTGTTAATAAGGAACAAAGCTACTTTAACAGTCGGGACCCATTAGATATTCAAGAATACATAATATTTTTCAACAGTGTAAGGTTACAGGTTGTAAGAGGGAGGGAATACTTTAGCGGTCAGCGCAATCCATTAACGGATAGTGCACAAAGAAATGAGTCAACAAATTTCTTTGTACGCGTTGGGATTGTGGCCACAGTTAGTCGGTGACAACGTAGGTCAGCGCGCGAGGTCCTCTGAACGAAAGGGGAAAGTGGAATAAGAGAGAATAACTCCTCAGAGCACTCGCCGTGGTACAGACGATAGAGCGTGCTTAGTAACGCCACGACACGGCGTAATTGTAGAGGCTCTAGGTGTTTAGTCACCTCTTCATCGCCTATAATGCGGATCGCGCGCCGCTGTAACCCATCCAAAGCATCGTGGTGGTGGAGCCATCCCGGAGTGGCGAGCAATATTCCACGCAAGACCGCACCTGCTCCTTATACAACATGCACAGTTAAATTGCTCGGGCGTGAAAAAACGCCGATCCTTGTTCAGGTCTCCAATACATGAAAGGAATGGCTACGTTTTTGCCGTGAAAGCGCAGACCTGGGTTTTGTTAGCATTGAACTCAACCAAACCTGGTAACCCATTCAGAAATATGGTCCAAAGCCTGATTGAATTTAATGACAAGATTCTCCCGTTTCTCCTTGGTTACCAACTGCCCAGCCGCTGCGGGTCGGGATACCCCGCATGCACTGTACTATCGTATGCATCGCAATGAATATTCCCAAAAGGAATTAATTCATTGATATGCAGCAGAAAGATAGTGGGGGAAGACGGAGGTCTGAGAAACGCCGGCATTCACTGACATGAACCGCGAACTGCTACCATTCGTAAGGACACGAATTTTACGTTCATGCAGGAAGTCAGCTATCCAAGAACAGAACTGTGCCGACAGACCGTATGCCGGAAGCTTGGAGAGAATGCTTTTGTGCTAGACCCTGACGAACGCCTTAGCAATGTCAAGGCTGATAGCCAATGACTCGCCCCGCTTGTCGATAGCCTCACCCCAGATATGAGTCAAGTACGCTAGAAGATCACCCGTCGATCGTTTGGGTCTAAAAACATATTGACGATCATTAATCAGGGAGTGATCCTCTAGGTAGCAGGTCAGATGGTTGTTAAGAAGCTTTTCTAGGACTACATAATACTGGGGTGACTGCTATTTGCCGGTAGTTTGCCGGGTCTGAGGGATCCCCTTTTTTGGGCACCGGTTGCACATTGGCATCTCTCCAAGTCTCCGGCACACGCCCCAAAGAATACGAGCATTGGTATAAGCGCGTGAGAGCGGAAGACAACTCCGCTGCACATTTTTTTAGTACTACTGATGGGATGCCATCAGGTCCACCAGCTTTCCGGATGTCGACTGATTGCAATTCGGCACGAACCTCACGCTGCCTCATTTTAATATCAGGCATCGTTGTGCCACAATGAGGTAATGATGGTGGCAGTGCATTGCAATCATCGTTTCGGGAGTTAACCGCAAAGAGTTTTGCTAGTAAATCGGCTTTCTCCCGTGGCTTATGAGCTAGTGTCCCGTCAGGGCATCTCAGAG